TATTTCAACCAATTTGAGCCAAAAGAGGCGGCCTCGTTAATCCAGTCAAAAATTTTTTATATATAATTATATAAAAATAATTGTATAATTATACATATAATCGTAAAATTATATGTGAAATATGTCCATTTTTTAAATTATATAATTATATATATATATATATAAATTTATATAATTATATATAAAAAGCACTTTTGTCTAATTATGTATGGACATATTTTATATATAATTTTGCGATTATATGTATAATTTTATATATTTCTATATAATTTTATATTGTTATACATAAAAAATGTTTTTTGCGCATTGCGTTTGAAGTTAATTAGTGGCACTTGAAATTTCATGAAATATCTACATATAGCGATTTATACGAGGGAGGAGAAAAAAGGAAGAAAGACAGTTATTTATAGAATATTTTGAGGTCAGCGTGCACGATCTCATCGAAATCGACGTACCAATTTGACTTGCGATCGCGAAGACGAGGACGGGACGACACGAGAGAAAGAGACGATTGCGTGGGAAGCGATCGGGATCGCGCGGATCCTTGTAGGTCGAGGAAACGAGGACGAGGTGCTGGCTGGCTCGTGTGAGAAGTTCTGTGAAAGGGTTAATTGCGAGAAACAGGTAGCCCGGGCGGTGATATCAGTGTTTATTCGTTAATTCGCGCTTAGAGAGGCCGTCGTTTGTATATATGTTTTCCCGATTTCTCCTCGAATCAATCTCGTGGTTACTATAGTTAATTAGTTAAAAGTTTGAAAAAAAGTTAAAAAGTTCATAACTTTTAGCTTAGTTAATTTAAAACTAATTTTTAACTTCATCTAGTTATTATTAACTTTTTCCCAAGTTAAATTTTTTATCTCTGAATACTATTATTGTTTTTTTATAAGCTATAAACATATTATTTTTAAATTAAAATATAATATTATTAATTTTTATGTTCCTTTGTCATCAATTGTAATTATCAAAAAATATATTATTTCTATATAAAAATCATAATTTCTTTGTTATTTGTTATTATAAATTTTAAAAGAAATCAACAAATAAAATTATAATTTAATACATAATGTTTTTAAAAATTAACTGTTGATTTAATTTGAGTTAATTTAATCTCAACTTAATCAATCTAAATTTCATCTTAACTTTAACCGAGTTAATTTTTTGTTAACTTACCCAACCCTGCGGTATTTGAGCATTCGATGGAAAATCTCATCGACGATCAAACAGAAAATCTAATCGAGATGGAGAATAAATTTGCGGTACATAAATTCACACTAATCCGCGAGAATGGCGTTCCTATATTTCTTCCAAGATACACGTGGAAAATTTAAATTCTATACGCGTTTAGAGAGTTAATCGAAATTACGAGTGAAATCGTAGGAGCTACGAATTCGGCATAAATTTGAAATAAAAATTAGAAAATTGACGTGATGTCACATTTTTTCAAAGCGCGTAGAAAATGTTATCGACACCCAGAGAGAATTTTTTCTTATAGAATTTATATCCTGAAAATCATATTGAAAGAATTTTATAAGAGCTTCTTTGATTAATATTCACTACAATAAAAAATTTTAATAATCTACCACAATAAGAAATAAAATATGTTCGATTAATTTTACTATGTACGTATTAATATTTTTTTATGGTAAATATTAATTAGAGAACTCATAAAATTCTTCCAATATCGTATCGTTTCACGATTACCCTGATTTTCAGGGTAAATTCTAAGAGAAAATTCTCTCCGTGTACTTTAATACTGCTGATCATTAAGATTGCAAAATGTGTATACATATACATATAATAAAAAATTAACAGAAAATTTAATTGACATATATATATAATTAAATGTTTGTGTTAATTAAATTTATATACATGTACTATAATCCTTATACATATATGCATATAAAGAAATGAAAAATTAAAATGAATGATTGTGAATACAAAAGTGCGAGATATCAGTTCGACATAAATTTTGGCGATTAAGAAACTGTCGTGACGTCAAAACTTCGTTTTGACGACACACGTGTTTCCAGCCGAAATAAGCTTCGTATATGAATCACAGAAATCTACCGAGTGCACGTGTAATTACGCGAGGAGAAAGCATTGCGATATCCAATTACACGTTTCATTACACGTCATCATGGTGATGTCGCATCGCGAGCCTAACATCTCGTCAAACATACGGGCGATAATCGAGCAGCTGAACTTGAATCCGGTGGAGAGGAGACGACTGATCAACAAGACCAGGCAGGAAGGAAATGCGCGATGCAAGAGCTTTCCGGACGGGATAATGATGGAGTCGCAAGCCCCGAAGATCAGCATCGGGGTTTACGGCTGCAAGGATCGAAGTGCCGAATTCAGGATACCGGATCATCCGATCGCGATGCGAAAGATCGAGATCGAGCGATCGAGATCGAAGCTGGACACGCGACAGAGAATCCTGACGCAGAAGAAAGAAGCGCTTCCTCCTGCGTGTCAGATCAAAATAGAAGCACCTTCCTCACAGGTGAAGAGAGAAGTGAGAATGGACCACTTGACCACAAACGAGGTAATAAATCGATAATATTCATCGCAATCGCGCGGTCGAAGCTCGCTGTGTTCTGGAGAGAGATCGTTGCAATTTACTGCTGATCGTAATTTCTTCGTTTATTTATTAGCTTTTTATATACCTTTAATTTTTATATATAATTGAGTATTTATAAATCGAATTATCGATTGAAAATATCTATTGAAATATTTTTAATATGTAAAGTAGAACTGATTTAGATTTTTTTATATTCGGGATTTTATTAAATGCATCTCCTTTTAATCTAATCATCAAATACGAACACATGATTGTATTGTTTATAAAAAACGCGAATAATATTTAATTTGAATTGTATAAAAATTCAAGGGTAAGTTCGAGTGCCGATCGATAGTGTCTATCGGATCCTTTAAAAAGGACACGATCCTTATCAAGGATGACAGCCGAAGATCAACGTTGCCGACGAAGATGCTTCCGACAGATCAACAAATCATCAAGAGAGAACACACTATTCAAATCGACTCCTGCACGATCGAGGTAATCGATCGAATAAATAAAAATAGCGCGATAAGCATATGTTTTTCGTGCGTGCTTCATTATTAATTATTAAACACGATTAGTAACAATTATATAATCGATCTGTGTGTACGATCTATCTGCCCAAGGACAAGGTCGCGGACGCATCAACAGTGTCGATCAGACCATACAAAATTGAAAATCGTCTGAGATCGAAGCAGCCATATATCTCGATGAACGTCAAAATTCCCCGAGCTACGAAGGAACAGATGATTGTTAAGGAGCAGATTCGCATCGAGGACACGGTCGAGGTAATCGATCAACGTCATCAACGCTCACGATCCCTTAAATATCGACGAAGAGGACAAATCAAATATTATCGTTCGCCGAATCTCAAATATTCTACATAATATTATAATTATGAGAAAAATTAATTATTATGTTTGCCAGATTAATATATAGATTCTATCTTCTAACATTTTATTTTTCGAAATATTGTAAATAAAGAATGAAAGTATAGAGTTTCATTAATTTAATAATTAACGCTAAGAGCGATTGCGCTGATTGTTTATTATATAACACAAAAATAAGTAGAATTATAAAGTAAGATTATTATATTACACTTGTATATAACATACATATTTTTTAATATTCTTTCTCTCGTTCTGTATATCGTGTAATACTATACGCGAGACATCGTGTTCAGCATACAAATAATTTTAACGGGTTCGAGTTGGTTCTCATTTTGCCATCCCGTGCTACGCCCGCGTGACGATCGAATCGCGTGAATCGCGCGCGATCGCCTGCGCCTGTGCTGCAATTACGGTTTAAGAGAGCACGGTCGATTCGAAAGAGAGCTCACCTATATCTCCCTTTCTTGCCCGTTATCATACTTTTTCCCCTCGTGCGATAGTTTTCGCATTCGGGACCGAAAGCAAGTGACGACGCACCTGCGACCGGTTTCCGAAGCCGATCGCGGTTAAGTGGCCGCGCTCGACTCTCGCACGGTGGTCAATACCGTTAGAAAACGATTGGGCGACTTGCCTCGCTCTTTCTCTCTGCCTGCTCGTCGAAAATAACGTCGGTAACGGCGTCTGGAATTATGTTACATCGCATCGAGCGCCAAGTCTCTATCTCATCGCGTAGGAAGGCGGATCGATCAATAAATTGAAAACGATGACTTCAAAAGTCTCTGGAGACGAGCGAGAGTTGCCAGGAACATTCTCGGGAAATCCCAAGAGCTGTCAGGGAATAGATTTTTGGCAACAAAAAAGAATAAATAACGATAAAATTGATGAAATCGCCAGTGATGAGTAAACCCGTACAAATTTATTGAAATTTTGATCTAACTGGTCAGTACAATTTATTAGAAACAGTACGTTTCGACCCTTAGGTACGGGTCCTTTTCAAGTGTAACTGCACAATAAAAATATACAATGATTAAGATACGAAACAATAATTTACAATTTCTTCGTTAACAACTTTGTAAATTATTGTAAATGTTTTTTAATCATTGTATATTTTTATTGTGCAGTTACACTTGAAAAGGATCCGTACCTAAGGGTTGAAACGTAGTGTTTCTAATAAATTGTACTGGCCAGTTAGGTCGAAATTTCAATAAAAAAGAATAAATTAAATCAAATTCAAGTGGAACATTTCAGATATTAGATAGAAATGATTTGACTGATTGATTAAAATATGATTTTTTTATATTTATTAATTGAGTTTGTTATATTTATTTTATTTAAATTACACATTAATTGTTAAACACACATATGATCATATATATCCTATAAGAATTTTAGAAAAAGATACTCGGGTATTTTGAGCGATTTATGAGTTCTCAAAAACCAGAACCAAAGCGAAAAATTACGGATTAAGATTCGTTGGCATTGCATGATGTAATATATTTTATAAACGCAATCAGATCTATTAGATAATAAAAATTATTTTTGTTACGCAGATTACGAGATCGACGAAAAATACGGTCGACCGAACCGTTCTGGTGGCCAAGGAAGATTTACGTAAGTTTTATTATGTTGTTCGCACAGTGTTATTGCTTCACGACACTTCAATTATACAGCTAATCGCGATTTACAATCTTTAACTATCTAGTTATTTAATTATTTTTTATTTAAGTTTGTAAAAAAATAAGAATTAATATTTTTTTAAATAATAATATTTATAATTAAATTCCAGTCATTCTAAATATTACAAAACAATATGTCAAAATTTTTGTTAATCTTACATATATTTTTATTAATCTTTACATATATTATTTATAACTACTCGGTATTGATAAATTATTATTATATCGAGTGCACAAATTGAGTTCAAACGAGCGTGAGAATTTTTGAGATTTTTTTACTTGTTATATTTATTTAGCAATCTACTTACCTCTGCAAAAATTAAAAATTTATTTATGAAGAGACACGTCTCATCGACAAGTACATGAAAGTACATGACAAATGAGAAGTAGCTGTAATTAAGCTCATGTCATGTCTATTGTCAAGATCTACCGTTATTCTCTCTTTATCCGGAATTTTTTGTCAGTCATACTTTCAATTAAAATGATTCTGCCTTGTATAAGAACCTCCGAATTACGTAGATTGGAGAAATGTACCGTAAGAGAGGAGATTTCGAAATTCTTTAATGAAACAAGCTTATGCTCTCCATTCGATCTTGCTTGTACCGACTTAGAAAAGATAAGCAGACCTTTTTGTATCACTAATGACTCTCTTGTTATATAAACCGTATTTATGCGCCACATATTGCATTATACGATACTTCGCACAATGATAATTTTTTTTTTAATTTCTAACAGCACAATTGGAAAGCGCGAGCTTGAACCACACGGCGGCGCATCACAGGATTTCCGTGCGTCCGAAGAACCGACGTCCACCACGTCGTACAGCGTCGACGACGACGTCGTCTGCCGACGTCGGCGTTTCTAAGTCGTCATCGGTACCACCGACTATCGTCGAGGATACCCTGGACAGTTTGGAGCAGCAGAAGCAGGAGCAGCAGCTGCCTCAATCGACGATCAGCAATGGTAGTTCGTCGCCGACAGAATTACCACCAAAGGCTGTTGGCGTAATCAGAAAGTCGTCAAGCCGGTTGTCTCGCAACTCCGACATCTTCGAGGAGTTAGAGTCGAGGTTGCCGAGGAAGACGAGCGCGACCTCGTTGTCGCCAGACAGTCTGGACGTAACAACGACGATATCACGGAGCAGCGCGGAAATGCCCGTCACCGAAGAACAGCAGCAGCCGGAGATCAAATGGATCACTAGGAAACCATCAAACCGGATATCCAAGCCCGACGTATTTGAGGAACTGGAGGCAAAATTGCCGCGCAGAAGATCCTCGTCGAATCGATTGTCCAAATCGCCGGACAGCCTGGACTCTGTTCCCTGGTTCTCCAAATCCACCGAAGAGGTCTTCGACAAACTCGTGGAGTATGAAGAGATTGCGAAGCCGGTCATTTCGGCCAGGCGACCGCTGCTGAATCCCATCTCGAAGTCCACCGATCGCGTCTCCAAGTCGTCGGACAGTCTAGAGGCGATCGAACCGCTGGTAAGCGACGATTCGATCGAGCGGCGACGAAACAGTTTTGATTTCCGGGCGCGCAAGAGCTCGAAATTAATATCTAAATCGTCGGAGAACTTCGACGTGCTCGAGCAAAGCGGCTGCATTGGAGAGGAGATCGGCCAGGAGTTGCAGAAAAGGAGTAGCGTGTCCGATATTAATTTGTCGCGCAGCCAAAGACTGTCGAAGAGCATTTCCAAGTCGTCCGAGAGCTTTGAAAGGATTGACATGAGCGACATGAAGGATGACGTCGACGTAGAAGTGCTGTTGGATGATGATACGCCAAAAGCGGGTGGACGGTCGACCAAGAGAATGTCCTCGGAAAGCTCGGACAATCTAGACGTGGAGGATAGACTGGAGAATAGGAGGGTCAGAAGGACACCCAAGAGAATGCCGAGCACCAGCATAGTGGACATGATAGTTTCTGGGGACGATCACGAGAGGGAGAGGCGACCGACTCCTACCAGGAAACCATCAAGGCTTCAAAAGTCTTCCGAAAGTTCGGAACTGGGTAGTACGGATACTCTGGACTCGGAGAGAAGAAACAAATCGTCGGAGAGCACCGAGACGCTGGACAGTTTGGAGAAAGACTTGGAACAGGATAGAAAAGACGAGGAGATTACGGATAACGTGGTGGACAAGCGTGAAAAAAATGTAAGATATGTGATAAAGAAATATAATATATAATAATAAATAAATTATATATAATAATATTGTAATATAATTTAATATTTATAATTTTATAAATATAATTTATATATATATATATATATATATATATATATATATATATATATATATGATAAAGATCCTTCTAAGAAGAAATGCTATTCTTTAGAACTTTATATGATATTAAAAAGAAATTTATTTAAATTAAGAGATATTAATTTTTCTTATAAAAAGAATTGTACAAATATATTAAACGATTAGATTCTGAGTATATTTTGTAATGTTCTGATGTTTTCTTAATAATGTTTTATAACAAAAAATATATCTTGATAATTTCTTTCAGGATTCTTGGTCCAGCAGAAACGCGGCAGTGACCGATTCCGACCAAGCATCGATGGGAGATGACACTGAGGACTCTAAGTCGCTTATTTCTGCCGATAACAAATACTATTGGCGCCAGTCCTCTGAGCCAGTCTCCAAGGAGAACTTGGGTATTCAGCAGTTATTAGCTATTACAATAATGACCAGGATGGCCGATAACGGTAACAATCAACGCGGTTCCGTCATTTATCCGAAGAAAAGACAGCAGATGAGTACATCACAACCGACGTCACCGGTAGCCAAGCAGGAGGACACGAAGATGTTGTTCGACAATCTGCTAGTGAGCAGCAAAAACGATGAAGACCTGCAGAACATGCTCAACGGAAACATATCGGAAGTGTCAACCGACACTAAAAGCTTTAAGGAAAAGCTAATCATGTTCGAGAAACTCGGGAAATAAACGCGCGACAATAGAACGATGTGAAATCGTTTTCACCATTTCTTTTTCGAATAGACCACTTGAATCGTGATCGAAGCTTAATGTAGAGAAAGAAGATACGGGAAACCTGAGAAGAGATAAGCGATCTCGTTTAGTACTTGATAAATGTACACATATTGTTGTAGAGTACATCCTAGTGGAATTATACCCTAGTGGAATTATTGAATCACAAAGTCGGTACAAAAAGAAATCAAAAATTCGATTGCAGATAATTATTTTTTGCAGAGAATTTTGTTTGATTATTCAAAGTTATGGAATTGAAATAAAGAAAAAATGCAAAATATAGATTCGCGTGATGAGCGTAATTATATGTAAAAAAAATAGTAAATTAAAATATATTCTAAATACTGATTTAGAGAAGATAAATTTTTGAAGTATTAAATTTTGTGAAGTATCAACGTGAAAATACTTGATATTTAAATTATGTCTAAATAATTTGCATGTTTTGTACGTTAATTTTTGTAACTATAAATGTAATGTAACATCACGGAATCTATATAACTCCAAAAATCAAAATAATATCAGTTCAGGTAGAAATACCTGGATCTACTTTGTTGTCGATGAGTTTATGAAACAAAAATATCAACCCGGCGGCAATTTTCTCGCTCGTATTTTTCTACATCATTAAAATATAATATTTTGTTGAGATTATATCGAATCGTGCATATTAATGCTCATCACAGGGGAATGTATTCTCGAATGCATACATACACGCATACACACACATACATACATACACACATATGCATATTCTCGTAAAAAGCTTTAGCGTTTACTCGCAGATAATTGTATAATACAACAGTTTAGCAATGATGTGATTCTCAGTATGTGACGCATTTATAAATATCGTGTATTATCTCATATCGTGTAAATATGAAAAATATGTGTGCGTTATCATTTTAATTATATCTTGAAAAAAATTATATATATAAAGCTGTATATATATATATATATATATAGTATACAAAGTGTCATCATAATTCGCATTCACGAAGCATTATTTCTCAATGAAAAATGAATTGAAAAGTCCCGACTCTTTCTTTATCTGTGACTTTTTAACGAAAGAGGAATTATTAGAGAAGAATTGTATATAATTATACATATAATTCCTTTCTAATTCTTTTTGAAAAAATGATTCGGGACTTTTCCACTCATTTTGCATTAAGAAATAATTCTTCGTGAACGAGAATGATGATGTACTCTATATATTAATGTTGATAATTGTAGCAGAGTCACGGGGTATAACGATAATATAAGAAATGTTACGTGTGTGCAATTGTATTTTTTCGATGCTCGAAAACTGTTGAGTCTATATAAAAGTATATATTACTCTAATATAAATTGCCTACGGATTGCCTAAACGTATAATCACGTTAAAATAGGCCTACAATTCTCTTGGTCGATAAAATGTCATTAAAGTGATATTAAGAAATGTTGGTCTCAATTTAAATTAAATGCCTCAGAAAATTATTATTGAAAAGAGAAATAATGTATAAAGAAAAGAGAAGTGGCGATATTTTGTCGATAGTTGAAATATGTGATTACCCCGAAGCTCTCGTTTTTTTCAATGACCCAGAAAGCGCTGTATAATAGCGTCTAATTGTCTTATCACCGCCGAATTTTGCGAAAGACGAATGATTTTTGTAACGTTTCAAGTGCCTTACCGAATCAATCGAAGAAACTGAATTAAACTATCGTCAAATGTAGAGAACGCAGGAACGTTATATCGTCTCATCCTCCTTTTCCCCTTTAGTTATTTAGATAATAAATGTGCGTTTCTTTTGGAAATTTTCCCGAAAGAGATGCGAAGATATTGTCTCTTAGAGTAAATGGATAAAAACTGGATTTAACTATCAAATCTCATTGTAATATTATGTAATAATATACAAGGAATAACAAGAGAGGAATTCCACACGCAGATACACATACGCATATACACAAAATTCACACAAAAAACAAATCTCTTTTCATTGATGTAAATAAAGCTGCCATCACAAATTACAGTTACAACAGAATCTTTTTCTCCCTTTATTACATATATTCCCCATAGTATGGCGCACATTGTTAAAAAATTACAAAATATCCCATTTAAATGCAGTACGCATATATGTAATTAATCGAATCGGTGTATAATTTTTTTTCTTTATCATTTTTCTCAAGATGCAAGTATAAGATAAAGTATGTTTCATTTTGCTTGAGGTTCAGAAACATTTTAGCTTGGCATTTATCTCGATTTTATTTTTAAATCACATAGAAATCACTTCTTCATGTACAAAAAGTGGAATGTAGCAGTCAGTTTCAATACAATGACTTTACGCGCAGTAATGATCTCTTTATCTCGGGACGAGATTAGAATTGCACGGTTATTATTAACAAGCTTCGTTCAATACTGAGTTACTCGGACCCTCCGGATGCAAGGATGAATAATTGATTGCGATCGTAACGTTGTACTTTGTATATACAGCCGGCACATTCAAAACGAGAGAAGTACTTCTCTAATTACACACGCACACAATATATTTCATTTTCGGTTCAAAAAAATTATTTAAGCGTTGCTTTTGAAATGTACGTCATGTATTGCATCGGATTCTATCAAAAAATTGTTTATTAATATATTTTCGATCAATGCATATGCAAATTGACATAATTCAAAGATAAAAAAAAAAAAATATATATATATACAGCACACATGGGGTTTATCTCTATTCTAATATATTTATTTCGATCCGTTTAATAATTTAAGATATGTGAAAACGATGTAAAAAAACGATCAATTTTTTGATCAATCCAATACATGACTAGACTGTCAATATGTTTTTATCCTTAATATTACAATTTTACCTTCTTGAGTTTATACAAAGATATTGATACTAAAATACTATACGCGATAGCACCTGGAAACATTTATCAACTTTCTTATCACCTTTAGGTGCTTATTTATCACTAGCTATATTATAGAAGAAAAATAATAGGAAAAAAACCGTGTGGTGTACGTCTTAATTCGAATTAAAAATATCTATTAAAGTAAAGAGGAAAATAAACATGATTATACAACCGCTATTATTGTATATAACATTACTATTGCAATTGTGGAAATATCTGCGAAACGGTTTGTCCAACGTTGCTTTATCGATCCTTGTAACACGTCTCGCAATCCACGAAAAGCAGAAATGCTTGACGATTCACATTGTACGTGCGACTGATCACGTGCGCGAGCGTTTTAATTTTCTTTTTATACTAACGCAGTAATAACTTTACAGTTCGTCGTGCTTGTCCGCGTCTACCGAACTAGGATTACAGAGCGCTGGCGTGGAGAATTCCATCGCGTACTCGCAACGACTCGGTTCCGCCACCGAGATGAGCTTGTTCTCGATCCCGCACATCAGGGTGACGATCGTGGAACGTGCCGGGCCGTTCCAGCAAGTGAGACCTCGATCGTACTTCATCTTTATGTATTTGTTATCAGCCGGTCCTGCCCAATCGTACCAGTGACCCAAATTGACGTCACTACCACCGGACTTGGACTTCTGCGTCGTTTTGCCGAACAAACACAGCTTGTAGATGTATTCTAAGTCGCCAAATTCGAAGCACTCGCCATCGAGCGACGCGAATTCTTCTTGCGGCCCGTAATCGCGATCAACTTTCTCCTCCAGCTCTCTGATCTCGGACTGCAACTCGTTGACTGCCTTAACGGTTTCCTGAAAACGTTCGCGAGCGCTATTGGCCTCGTCGATAAGTGCCTGTGTTTCTTCGTCGTATTGCACTTCTGGTTCCTGCGGTTCCTTCTCCTGCTCCTCTTCAGGGACAGCTCCCTCTTCTTCGTCCGCGAGTTCTCCTTCTTCGTCTTCTTCCCTCTCGTGATCATCCAAAGGCTGTTGCTCATCGGTTTCCTTTTTAGATTCTGCCGCTTTAAACATACCTGCAATTATATAATAAGATTTCAAAAACAGTTTACAGACTGTAAAAGAAAAACAAAGAAACAAATTTCAATATTATCCGCTGCTTTAAATATACGTGAAATTATATAATAAGATGTCAAAACAAAGTTTATTATAGATGGTAAAAGAAAAAAAAACAAACAAACAAACTTCAATGTTATCTACCTTGCTCCAACATTAAGAAAGGTTTTATGTTTGCCCACGCAGTATCTACAAATTCAAGCAGACCGATTTCCTTCTTATTATTAAGGAAGTACAGTGCTTCTTCCTCCGATACAGCTCCATCTCTATCTTTATCAAACGTAGCCCTGGTTTGCAACTCCGCCAGGGTTATCGTGCCACTCGAATCTGAATCCAGTATCTTAAAATAATCCTCCGCTTCAGAAACTTCTTTCGATTCCTCTTCTTCCTCGCCAGTCCTCTCCTCCGTCGCCGTTTCTTGTTGCTCTTGTTCAACAGGCTTGTACTTTTCCAATGCCAGAGTCTCCCGTTCCTCCGCCTGCGTCTTCAGGATCTCCTTCTCCTTCTTCATTAATTCCGCTTCCTCGTAGTCCGTCCTCAGCTTCGCTAGGCGCGACTGCTGCTCCGCTTTAATCGTCTTGCCCCTGGTGACCAGTTCCAGGCGCAGTTTGTTACCATCTCGCGCCAGCTGCTCCGTCTTCTGCTGCTCCAACCGGGCCTCCCGGCCCAACTCGCCGCAGTTGTTGACACAGCGTGTCTTAGACGCGTATTCGTCGCTCATGTCACAGCAGTCGCACACGCCGTCATTTACCCAGGATGACGGAATGTAGATCGGCTTGTGTCCGGCGTTCTCGCAGTAGAACGAGCCGTTGGCGCACGCCGCCGTCCCAGGTTCATCGCTGCTGTCTCCGCAGTCGCAGAAATCGTCGTTGACCCACGTGAAAGGTATCAGCCGGCTACCGTCCAGGCACTCGAAGTCACGGTCTGGTCGGTACAGCGAGTTCTTCGCCACCGGGATACCGCGGATCTGAAACACCCCTGAGCCGGCTACGTGGCCCAGAGTGGCCAGAAGAAGGAGGAGACTCGCCGACATTGCGAGTATCAGCTTACGCAATGCCCGATGATGATTATTCATTCTCTTACCCGGGAGAAAGAGTCTTTCTAAGTCACTCTCTAGACGAATAATCACCAGAGCGGAGTCTTTTTTGAGGTTCGAGAACGTGACACGACACACCGCACGTTCATTCCTTGGATTGCGCGTAAGATAGCAGAATTAAGTATTGCCAACTGTTTAACCACAGTAATCCCCGATGGAAGGACTTATGATAGAGTCTCTCTGTAGAGACATAAAATATATTTTCGATAATTCATCAAACAGGAAAGTTTAGATTATATTTTGCGAATAAGCAGTTAATGAGTAATTAATATTAATATGTCTTTTAAGGGGATGCCGGACTGACGGCCGAATTCTGATGCACGTATACACATACACATGCATATACATTGTACACATATGCATGAAAATTTATTAATATATAACTTTTTTATTAGATCTGTAATTTCACTTCTAGTTGTTCGTTAATATTCTTTCATGTTATCCCTACTGCGCGAGCTATATCTTATGCACAGACAAACTACAGAACTTTTTTTATAAATAAGTACTTTTACGAACTGTGATACAAAAGAAGCCGATAACAAAACTGTAATTTTTTACTTTTATATATGAATTTATACATGGAATTATAGCTAGCGCGGTCCGTTTTTGTAAGTACTTTAATCGTGGAAAAGGATTTATTGATCTGTATAATCAATAAAAAGATATCTCAAAATAATCAATATTCGCATTCGGTTGGTAAAAACATATCTCTGGCATCCTCTTAAGAGTTAATAATTTCGTAGATGTCGTCAAACCGCAACAAAAGGCTGTGGGAACAAACTACCATGCAAGCAGCAACAGCAACAGCCGCCCGGCTGGCCCTATTGGTACTACGAACGTTATGGGCGGTCAGACAGCACAACAGACACAACCGCATCCGCACCGAGTCCGGCTCAACCTCAATCAGGAGGATCGTCTGGAGGAGGACAGCAGCAAAGTGCTCAAGGACAAATGGCTTTAACTCCAACGAGTAAGTGGGAGATTGTCGAAAAGTTCATTTAGTATTGTCCAACTATAGGTAATTTTTTTTTTTTATATCTTATAAATCTTTACTGCTTGCAATTATCTTGCTAACCATAATCTTCATTTTTTAAATGGAACTTTCAGATCCGAAACCGACGCCCGATCCAGAAAAATGTAGACTTATTGAACAACAATTGGCATTACTTATGCATGCTTATAAATATCAACGTCGCGAAACTCGAGCGAACGGCGAAATGAGGCAGTGTACCTTACCATTTTGTGAAACGATGAAAAATCTTCTGAAGCATATGACGAATTGCCAAGCTAAAAAGAATTGTACTGTACCAAAAACTGTAGTATGTCCCGACAAATTATCAGTCATTGGAAGCATTGCAATCGAGGTCTCTGTCCAGTCTGCGTACCAATAAAACTGGACAAAAGCAGGATTAATTTTTTGATTAGCCCCTTCTGTTGATAAAGGCATTAGAATACCAGTGCCTGGCATGCCAAGTCCTCCAAGTACACTGGAAAATGTTAGATTAGCAGCGCAGCCTCAAACACAGCCTATTGTGGAATGACTATAAACTACACCAGCAACTGCCAGCTGTTGTGTTCTGATTGGTCGACGCGCAACAGCAACAGTAATCGCTAGTGTGATACGGCCTTTAAGGTGATCCTAAACATCCTTGAGAAGTTTGTTTCTTTCCTGTTTTATCGACAAAATGTGAGGTTGGATAAACTATAAATCTATTTATTGGCTATATGGATTGATTTTTTACCTGAAATTAGAACGCTTCGCTATATACTTTAATTTGTACATGAAGATTTAACAATCTCTATAGTTTATATATCTTGATTACAAAATTATGAATTCTTAAGAATCTTAGCAATTTTTATTCTTGAATTATTATTATGTCGCGACATAATAAAATTTCAATGAATTAAAATTATGTCTGGGTATAAAAATATATAATTCACAATTTTTATTATATCTCGACATAATTTTATTCATTAAATTAATTATTATGTCGCGACAAAATAAAAATTCGATGAATTAAAATTATGTCGAGGCATAATAAAAATTGGGAATTATTTTTATACCCAGACATAATTTTCGCAAAATATATTTTCCTATTAGCTTATACATGATTTTTCGCATCTTAAAAAATTCATATAAGAAATATATACCTACAATACCTGTTTTTGATTAAATAATGCTAATTAATTTTTATAAGAGAGAGTAAAATGAGATAATTAATTATTATATAATAATATATAATTTTATACATCGACAAAAACATATTTAGTCATCAGAAAGAAACAAACGTCGCGCGTTTTGTAATATTCCAGTATATGTAAATCGAGCATTATCCGCCGCCATTATGCGCGAACTCTTCACCTGTCCTGCTTGCGCATCATGGCGGCGCTCAGCTGGTAGTGACTAGTGACTTGTCCGATGATACTCAGTGAGAGATATGTGACGTCTAGTGCGTGACGGCCGATATCTCGATCGTGTTAGCCGAGCTTGACATCCAGCTTGATTTTCTGACGAATGTCATCGCGTGACAGTGAACAATGGGCTATAACGAGCAGCGATCTAGCCATTAAAATGACAACGAGCAAACGAGCGTCGAACGTTGTTACGCTGCACAGGCTCCTGTAAATTTGCGCGGTGGGGAAATCGAGATCGAAGGATCTTGCACGGATGCGACACGAAAGCGACGAACAAAGCTGATAGCAGACATGGGCAATTGCTTGAAGCGCGCGGGCGGCAATCAACAGGACAATACGACTTTGCTGAGCAACAATCCCGAGCCCAACGTATCCACCAGTGGATCTTCGCAGGAGGGCCTTGGACCACCGATTCCCTACAACGTAATAAACAGCGTCATCATTTGCGTACAGTCATTCTTATCAGCTGGAAAAACAAGTTGTTTCTTTTGCTTCTTTCTCCTTCGTCTCTTCATTCTCTTTCGAAATCTGAAAATATGCGTTTGCTTCATTTTAAAACAGATTTTAATAAAACGTGATGCAACTCGAAGAATTAAGACATTTACTCACATTTTGACATTTGTTCAATTAATTATGTTGATTTAATTTAGTCTTTATATTTTCTTCATTTATTGCTGTATTTCACTAATTATTTCAATTTTTAATTAAAATTTTTTTAATTAAATTTTTAATTAAAAGAGTAAAGAAATAGACATAGTTGAAGATTAACGTGTCAATTCTTATTGATATTAATAAAACAAGCAAATCTCTCTTGGAGCAAATTATATATATTTCTCTTTAAGCTTTAAAAATCTATATAAATATTATTGGAGATGAAATTGTTAGACTAATTGATTTTGTGATGTTTTACAGCAAGCAGCCTATTATCCATCAATTATATTTTCTTGATTTATCACTGTATTTTACTAATGATTTCAATTTTAATTGAAATAGACAAATAGAGTAAAGAACTGGGTATAGTTGAAAATTAAGTGGTAATTCTTATTGATGTGGAATGAAACAAGTTCTCTATTGAAGCAAATTATATATATTTCTCTTCAAGCTTTAAAGATCTATATAAATAATATTGGAAATGAAATTATTAGACTAATTGATTTTGTAATGTTTTACAGCAAGCAACTTATTATCCATCAATTGCAACAAGGGAACGTCACTTGCAGTCCACCAACTTGAACATTGGTCGTGGGATTGGAGTCAATTTAGTGCAGAGTAGTGGCTCGGGTGGTTTGAGCGAAGAGGAACAACAGGTGAGGATCGCCAAGCGTATTGGACTGATACAGCACCTGCCGATGCGAGAATACGATGGTGCGAAGAAAGGCGAGTGCGTGATATGCATGATGGAGCTGCTGGTAGGCGAAGAGGTCCGTTATCTACCCTGCATGCACACCTACCACGCGATCTGCATCGATGATTGGTTGCTGCGCTCATTGACTTGTCCATCATGCATGGAGCCGGTGGATGCGGCGCTAATTAGCTCATATCATCCGACTACTTAATACCAGAGTGACTGAAATTTTATTTGGTTCGGCCGATCGGCGAATCGGAATTAAATTATCAGGCTAAACGTGTGAAGCAAGCGAGAGAGAGAGAGAGAAAGCGAGAAAAAAAGAAAGAAGGGAAAAAGAAACTCGCTACTTTTACTAGAGCATATTAAAGGCTTCAAGGTTAGTAGAGAGATCGTGTGTTAATGGCCTGACTATATTTCGCCGTTACACTCGATTTATACATGCGTGCTGTTTAATAATAATCTCTTTATCTCAATACACACCTATTACATCTGCAAAAGCGGATTTTTTTTTAGATCGTTTCCTGCGATATAAAGGAAAGTGAAAGTTTTATTTCAATTATATATATACATATATATATATATAATATAATATATAAATTCTATGGAAACACATCACATCCCAAATCCTTTTCCTCGTAGTGAGTTAATCGCTTGTACATTAATTTCTTATATTAAACGAAACAGAGAAGAGAGAAAAAGAGAAAGGGTTAAACAAAGTGAATTGATATAAGAGTGCAATAAAGGAGTTCAGCACGTGCGTACACATACATATATTAAAATATACAAAATCTTATTTTATTTTTAACAGTCAAATGTCTGGAAATTGCAGTTTTAGATAAAAATATATCTTTCAGATATTTGACTATCAAAAATAAAAGAAAATAAAACATCTATGTGTATCTAAATATATAAATGTATGTGTGTGTATGAATATGCGTAGTAACAAGATAAGAAATGCGACAACACATGTGCGAAAATTATATAGTATCCTTTGTATGTGCGATGCTACATCTTCATATACATTTTGGCGCAAATGTTTGACGAATCTGTGTAAATTCTCTTCTTTTGTACATTGTATTCTTTTGATCGCATCTTTGCGTAATCTGTCGGATAAAATAAAATTAGCCGTGATAATTTTAAACTATCGGTGTAAAATTGGATGCCTGCATACTGCGTGTGTGTCTGCAGGCACTTCTTATTTAACAAACCGCGAAAATGTCGAACGGATGACAGTCTGATATGTGACAAAACAGAAGTCCAATAATATTCGCGATATTTTGATTTCTTTATGTCTGGACTGTATCTCGTAATAAAATCGCTTGAACCGCTTCTCTGCCGCTGTTGCGCGATCAACATTGAACATTTTTTTATTTAGATAACATGTACAGAGAAAGAATGCTTCATTGTACGCTACGGACGATTGGTGGTTTATTATGTTGATTAATCTGGTAATAATGTATAGCAACGAATGAATCGGCGAAAGGAAGAAGCGGAAGAAAGAAGAGAAAAAATGTCATACACACTTTTGAACTCGCCGTTAACAATGGGCTACGTAACTTAGATTCTGTTGTTGATTTTTAGTAGAGCTTGTTAAACTAACTTCTGCTGCAGTTACAATAAAGCAGTTGGACATTTCCTGTTTCGCTGAATAAAACTTTACAGATATGTACAGTCTCGAATATAGAGTACATCAGTCAGTGTATAAAAAAATGCGATAGTTTTAACCGACTCGGAGCAAGGCAACATTTTTTGCGCATCAAGAGAGGACGCAAAGAAACGTTTAATTTATATATAAAAGGAAAGGAAGCTCTTAAGAGTATGGTACCGCTAAGTTTTTTGTTTTAAATGTGAAAAGAAAAAAAAATGCTGTGAAATAGTGATTTATTGACAAAATACAGATATATAAATAAATGATTTAATATGCAAATATAAATATTTAGTACAAAAATTTTGTGTTTTTAAAAATTATCCATCTCGACAAAACATTTCTCGATGATACTCGGATCGAACGCGTTTATTTAAATAATTAGAGCTATATTTGCAAATTCTAAATAGAGAGTAGCGTAATTTTATAATATAAAAGTACGCCGAAAAAAAACTGCTAACGTTACTAACTTAATTCTATTATATCTGGTCTTTTTTAAAATAAAAAAATCCAGACACTTTGTCCCGATAAGACAAGCGCGTTACATCGCTCTAATCAATGTATCAAATATTTGCATGATTAATCGGGGCATCAGTGACAATCTGCTGAGCTGTACATTATAATAGTAAGTCTCGGTGAAAATTGTATTCAACTTGCGTTAAAAGACAACAATAAATTTTTGGTTGAAAAAAATCGCTTAGATCTCTTATAATTGATCGATCTTTTCGCAAAAGTATGAAATTAAGTCGCTGCTATATCGAAAACGATGCCACACGATGTCCCGAAAATAAGTCTTACTCAATTAGAAAATTGAATTAAACGACACCGCAATTATAAAAGTACAAATATGAAAATTTGAGTCTATTATACATGTAATACAAAAGGAAATGTTACCTGAATACGTCGCGCGCGTTAATCGTTAATTGTTAATATATTTACTATTTACATACAATTATTGGTTTATCAGAAAGTCTCGAAATAATTTCTGATAATTGCTTCGTTCTTCTCCTTCATTTAGAAGAAACTGACAAAAAAATTAGTTTCTCGTCTGCAATTGAATAATTGCTAACGAAGAATATTCGTAATATCAAATATTTGCCAATTAAATTTTACTAATTGTATAATATTGTCGTGATTATTTGATCAGTTCAGAAGCTGCAAAATGTATTTTTATATAGCTGTATAAAACGTGATCTGATAACAAAATTTAACTTCTTTGTATTATATTTATTGTATGCAATATTAATTATAGAAAAAATTCTTTTTTTTAATTGTTTCGAAATTTGACGAAAAAGTCCAATTTTATCCAGCAAGATCTGTATTACAAAAGTTGGCAAAGATGCGATTACGAGATATGTACATTATTTCTCAGGAATTAATCGAAATACGAAAATAAAAATTACATTTACAGATGTGACTGGCAGCAAACTGTACAAATAGTTCGAAGTGTACATATAAATATTATCCTAGTGGTATACATCATCTTCGCAATGGTGCTTTGGCAGAGGTATACTTCATTAGCACCATACAAATGCAGTTTCGTTTTGAGATAATCGATACGAATTTCGCTATTAATAATTCTCTTCTTTTTCGTACTACTGATTAACTTCTCTCTCAAAACTTTACTGATTCGTAAACAAACGAAAGCACCACCTCCGTCTCGCAATTTCAATTACATTCGAAAATTTTGCTAAGGGTTAATAAATTAAAAAAAAACACGCGCTCGTCTCTCTCTAATCTCCTTTGGGGCTTCAAAGAACGATTGACGATAAATCGATTAAGTCGCTTCTTTTTTATGATGGGACGAAATATGCGGCGATCTGTAGAGCTACACGCGAATATTTTACAGATGACAAAGTCTAGTTAACATTCGGACAGAGATTCGTACAATTTGTACATGTTTGATTGACCTCTTGGCGGCTAATCTAATCTCTCGTATTCTTGCATAATAAACGTGTTGCCGTCCTCCACGTTACTCTCCACGTTACCCTCCACGTTATCCTCCACGTCATCCTCCATGTCACCCTCGTAAAAAGACTCGCATTTCGCGAGCAAACGGAGAACCGGACTGATGTTGTATGGGAACAGGGCCTTGGACACTAATCGATCGATCGCCAATCGCAGTCTTATCAATACCGTCATAGTGTCGTCTAGCTCGCGGCTGCAACACTCGACAAACTCGTCCCAATTGCGTCTAATGTATTTGAGGAATCGCAAGAGATACAGGAGAAAGCAGGTCTCGTTGCTGACGAGCAGATCCAGCAAGACATCCGGATCGTGCGACACGACGTGGATAAATTGCACAAAGGTCAACGTGGGTCTGAGGGGGCTGAGCATCGATCTCGAGACCAGGCTGTACGGTGATCTACGGTGGAAGAGACCCACGGCGACGTCCAGGCAGCAGACCATACCCTCGATGAGAAAGTCGTCCTGATCGTGGAACATCTGAACGACCCACTGGGAGAGCGGCATCTCCGGATGGAAGGGCATCAGCGACTTGACGCATTGATCCAGCTGGCGCAGCACTTCCCGGATACTCCTATCGATCACCGCCATATCCTCGTCGATATCGTCGACCTCGGAGCCCAGGGATGAGTCGCTGGAATCGCTACGGGTCTCCCGCACCGTCACAGCAGCGCTTTTCAGCACCAGTAGAACCATCTTTTGCAACAGCGGACGATCACCGTCGTCGGTGCCGCCACCGAAGCTGCCGGAACCGTGACGATACGGTAATGCGTCGAGCAGTCGATGATCCTTGACGACGCGTACGATCAGGGTCGCTAAGGAACACGGTTCGTCAGGCAATACGTCTTGGAGCGCCAGAGTGCTACCATAGCACAAAACCTCGTTGAACAAACCGAGAAGATGTCGCCAGATCACACCCGGTAGGTTTCTGTTGAGTAACCACACGAGGTCATTCAACTTCGAGTAGAAGGGCTTGGTGTCGATGACGGATAGATTGGCTTTCACCGAGATGATGGTCTCCCACAAATGCAGGAACGTGATGACGAGGGACGCGTGTTGCGGCGTATAAGTCCTGAGAATGGTTTTGAACTTGGACACAAGGATGGTCCACTTGGATTCCAGCGCTTTCACACACATTGCCTTGATCTCCGTGCTGTCGAAGATCTCCGTGGTGGTGATGATGTGCGTGTTGCAGCCGGGAGGCGACACGGACGCGTCTGGCTCCTCCAACGGGTGTATACTGCAGTCCTTGTGCTCGACTACCCTCTTCACCACGTCCAGGGTGAACAGCATCTGGCTAGTCGTCGAGTGCATGTCCACCAGAGATTGCACGAGCCTCTCCAGCCAGGCAATCTCCACGTTATCCCTCGTGAGGATAAAGAAGGATGCGAGCACGCGACTCCCGGCGTACGAGATAAATTTGTTGGACGTATAGGACAGATCGATGATCTGATCGATGATGCCATGCTCGTTTCTCGCCAGAGCGTCACAAACGTCCGCCACTCTTTTGCACATCACACCTCGCACATTCTGCTTGATCGCCAAGTCGAACAGCAACTGTAGTGCGCTGAGAAACTCCAAGGTCTGATCCGTATGCCATTCTGACAGAACGCCAGAGCGGATGCTACTATCAGCTTCTCCCACCGTAGTATTAATAAATGGTTTGCGCAGGCTGCTCTCTGGGATGTGGCACAAACATCGCGTAAGCAGGCTACTTTGTAGTTGCTCGATCTCAGTAAATCTATTCTTGGCATCCTCGCAAATTTCAATGCGTTGTTTCTTCTTAACCGGTTCCTCCATTGTATCAATAGAAAGATAAAGATGATAACGTGCGGAAGCACCATCAACTTTTATCAAGTTAACTCTCTCATGTGGATGACACCACAGAAGGAAGAGCATCTGAAGAACGCTAAACCAGTCGCAGTCAGCCCATTGCGGTTACCAGGTACGTAAGGCCATCGAACACACCTGTTGCAAAAAAATATATTATGTGTAAATCAAATGTGAACGATTTTGTATAAGATTGTTGTTAAAAAAAAAAGTTAGAATTTATTCACGATTCGCAACAATAGTATCACTATATAAGCAGTACTATAATTTCTTATTAATTTCTTCAAATAAATTTTTCTCCGTATTTCTTTATAACAATTCTTCTATTATGCACTTAAACAGCTGTACAAATAATCTCGCGTAAGTATTAACAAATTTAAAACGGCTAACAGCAAGAGATATAGTCGACAATGACTCTGTGTGTAATACCAGAAGCTGTCGAAAACTAAAGCCAGCAGAGAAGCTTACAGCATTAAATTCCCACCGAGGCTATCTACGCAGGGGGACGAAAGAGGATGTTTCCCAGGCTCCAAAAGGACGGGTGTGAGCCAATAACATCCGCGTTCGCGCGCTACGTACGCATTCCTCGGCGAAGGCTACCAAACCACGCTTCCGCTTCGGCAGAGAAATCGACGAGAAATCCGTTACGAGCTCACGAGCAGGTCTGCGTCGAAGAAAAATCGCGGGATGACGAGGGATCAATTGGATCAACTCGGTCGATCCAGGGGAAGAGCGTCCACCAAGAGGTGGATCCGGACCCTGAACTCGTCGCGGCGTCCTTCGTTTGGGAAGCGAAGGACGACGCGAAACGTCACTCGGTCGACCAGCCAGCCAGCCACCGTCGACGAAAATTGTTTCTCTTGACTAGGAGAAGTGACAGGAGGCCAGCGCTCGCGCCGAGGGCGTTCTCGCGGCTTAGGGCAGCCACAGGCACACACGGCACGGCCACAGCACAGCAGCCAAGGCACACCACACACGACAATGCGCTCTGTTGCCACGTATACGACGTGCTACCGAGGACGGCGGAGAACACGGGAGCTGGGGCGATCGGCGAACTGGGTGGGCGACCTGGAGCGCTCGACGTGACGGCCGATGTCGGGCGGCGAGACGTCAAGTCCACGGCCGCGTTGCACGGGATTCCGGTCTGTTAACGGGCATTCTCGGCCGGGCATCGTGCGGAGCTGCGTAACTCGGTAGCTACCCGTCGCGCATTCCATTACGTACTGAGGGGGGGACGATGCGCGCTTCCCAGCGTGAGCGAGCTGCGCGCGAACGGAAACGCGACCGCCGACCAGCGGGGCCGGTCCCGCGGCGCCTGGAATAACGCCGTGCCATTCCTCGCGCCAGGATTAAAGTCGCCCGGATCGGAAATGGCAGTGGCGGGCGATAAATAAGCGCGCGATCATCGGCAACTCAGCATCGAGCGGTGGCGCCCTCTCGCGCCCGCTCCGGGCCCACCTCGTGGCGGGTCATTCGAATCCTTCCTTCGAATATTTCATTTATTCCAATCTTTTTTTCGTTATATATTTTTGTACGTATATATATATATATATATATATATATATATATATGTATATCATGAATTATTATTTGTGTATATAAGTGCTGGAGAATTAATAATTTACTCGGATATTAACTCTAGTTTTTGGTTTCTTTATTTAAGGAAAAGTTTTGTAAATAACCATGTAATACGTATAACCATGGTGAACATATATTTATATGTATACTGATTTATTAACGAAATTATAATTAATTTTTAAAAAAGAATTATAATTAAATAAAAAAAAATAACTACTTTAAAAAAAAAATTATTATAATAAACTTAAAAAATATATTTAATTTTAAAAAACACTTGAAAATAATATTTATAACTGGCAGATAATGTGAGAGATATGAATTTTATTGAATTCGAAAATGAAATACGTAGTAAATGAAAAAATGAACAATTTTTAGAAGCACTCGAAGGCACGTGCATCCGGGTGGAAGCGACGCTGGCGCCGTGACGTCATCGTCTGGCAACACGCGGCCCGTCTTTCTCGCGTTTATCGAAACGGAAGTCATCCCTCGCCCTCACGACTCACGAGGCAGTTGGAAAATGGCGTCGAAAAACCAACGGTGGATGGTAGACTCGGGCATTCTGCGTAAAAAGAATACCGACGAGGAACCGCAGGAGCTGTTGGTGTTTGGATATAGCTGCAAATTATTTCGCGATGATGACAAGGCGAAAATGATTGATCAGGGAAAACATTTGATACCATGGATGGGCGATAGCGCATTGAAGATAGACAGGTCCGTTTCTCTAACCTAGACAAATTTATCATCTAGGATATTTGTTCTCATGCATACGTTTCTCCGAAAAATGAAAATGATTGACCTAGACAAAAACAAAAAAAAAAAAAAAAAAAAAAAACAAACCAAATTTGAATCAAAAGTCAACACCAAGCGCCAAGTGCTGCATTTAAAAGCGAAAAAAAGTCCCTCTTTCTCTCTCTCTTTCATCATTAATCTCTGGATAAGCAGACTGGAGACTGTTTAAGGCTTCCGCAGGTGTTGTCTCGGCTGTGAAAAAACGCGCAGTGTGGCAGCGCGATTTATGCGCTCTGCACGGGCGCAGAATCAGGTGCTCTCGTGACGCGGCGCTTATGGCTGGCCGTCTATGCAACAGCAAGGTGAGACACGGTGTAGAGAGACAAATGGCAGCTGACGGTTGTAGGTATTATACGACCGCTCAGCACGGTATGTATTAGAACATTAGACTCGGCTTTGTCTCAGGAGCGCATAGGTCATTCTTACGTACTCACAAGTATACTGTATCAATTTGTCGATGCTATCTAAACACGTGTATACGCATCCAATTTTGTTTGTATCCATACTGGAGTAACACTGAACAATATTTATGCTTTGTTGTATTGATTTTTAACATACTATGTCAGAAAAGATCCGCATATGTTTAAAGATCTCAGAAATTTAAAGATTAATATAAATCATCTTATATTAGAAACAATATACAAGATACTTTCAAGTTTTATATATATTGTTACTTAGTTTGCAAGACAAAACAGCAACGGAAAGAACATTGCGCAAGGTGTCCTCGACAACTCTTATTTTATTTCAGAGAAATTATTTTGGTGGAGTTTACCTCCTCGATTTAAATTTACAGATGCTGTGGCCAACTGTGTCTACATCAATCTAAAACGATATCATCTTCCTTCTCTAATGATTGTATTGTATGTGTATAGATACGATGGACGAGGGGCACTGGCTGACTTACGGATTCATGAACCACCACCAGGTGGTTTCGATCAACGAACGATATTTACCGAGGAAGAATTGAAAGTAGAGCATCTATGTGACGAGGAGCGCTATCAATCTCTCTACAACAATGATGCCGAAGAATCCATGTATCATGGTAATACATTGTTTTTTAAAAAACGTTTTAATTATATTTTAATTGTTGTTATAGTTCAATATATATATATATATATATATATATAAAATATGTTTATATATTGCAGAAGAAGAAATAAAAAGACTACATCAAGCATTGGATTCTGAATCTTCGTACAATCAAGTAGGATTTAATTATAATGAAGATGAGAACAATCAGAAGGCTTCTGGCGAGGACTCTCAGAGTCCAAAACAATCGGAAGACTCGCAAGAGGAAGATCAGGCGTTTGTGCCACCTCCTGAGTTGGAAATCCCCGAAGGAATGATTCTGGTAAGATTCTATTTTACTTATCCATTACTTTTTTATATCAACATTATGTACTTAAATAAAAATAATGTTAATTTTATGTGTTTAGCCAGAAACACAGAAATTGAGTGCCATTATAACGAAAACGGCGCTGTTTATAAGTCAACACGGATGCCAATTGGAAATCTTGATAAAGACGAAACAGGCAAATAATCCGCAGTTTGCGTTCCTATCGATAGACGAGCCGCTCCATCAGTATTACAAGTTTCTCCTCGATGCTATCAAGAATGGAAAATATAATCCCGAAAAGCAGCCTGAGAAAGAAGAAACCGGTACGCATTTTATTTTCTATAAAAGAAATGTCTTATAGTAATTACATGAAGTTGACGTTATTGAGTTGAAGTAATTGAAGCGACATAAAGCAGGATTTGATTACCCACACCTACTTTGATTCTACTTAGTTTTTCTTGCCGTAAGTATTGTCATAAATTTTTGTTAATACTTTAATTGGTAATCAGTATGTATAATCTATCTTAATGATTTTAAGATGTATGCGATTCTTATAGTTATCTTTCTCTTTCACTGATAGAACCTGAGGAAGAGTCAGACCAAGATGACGAATCGTACCTGCACCCAAGTCTTGCGCCATCATTTACCAAGATTGAAGCGGTAAGTTTGCATACATGTGCACAAGCTATTTGCACGCTGTACATTAATCTGTTCTTGAAAATGCATAAGTGATTCCTGCGGAAGAATTTTGCGTTTGGAGTAGTTCGAAATGTGGAAGACCTTTGCTGGACCACACTGAATTACTTTTAGAACGATGCTCTCGAAATTCACGGATCAGAATAGGATGAAATATTAATAATACTCTGCAACACTAATTTATGTGTTAAATATTTCTGCTTCCAGGGCTGATTCTGGTATGCATTGGACATATGTATTTCCATAAATTTTTATTTATTCATTTATTACATCACTTCTTAAAACATTAATTCCGCTCGCGTATAACGTGCCATTGATGATATATCAAAAATACATTTAATACATATAATTTAATACAATTAATATTTTGTAAATCTATTGTTTTAACAGAGAAATAATGGAGTGAACAAAATTTAATGAAGTCAAGATTTTTTATGCATTATATAATGCAGTATATAATATTAATAATTATGAATATTATTATAGATAACAAAAAATATATATTAATGACTGTTGTAATTGTCGTTGTAACTTTGTATATTTAGAAAAATAGGTGTTTTTTTTTAAATAGGGTTTTACTTTCTTCTACTGTCTATGTATAAACTATTTTTAAAAACTATAAAAATATATATCAAAAATGAATTATGTATCAGTTTTTATTTGGATAGGTATTGTAGGAAAATAGGTCTAGGAACGAACTGAACACAGAATTATAAAGGAAAAAACTTTTCATTTTTATAGGCGCCTAGCATACCGAGCATACAATACAAACCATCAGCGGATTGCGCGTATTCCATGCTCGTGAATAAGATTACGGGAAAACCACCACCATCCAAGGTACCACAGATATTAGACCCGACGATGCAACCAATGCCGCCGTCTGCTGGATACTATCCTCCACCACTGCCACCACAGGTACATATAATTTTGGTATCGTTTTAATAATATAAAATAATATATTGATAAAGTTTAGCAAAGTATTCAGTATTATTTTCTTATCATATAATTCTGTTTCTAGAGATATCCTGCACCTCCTTATCCTACGCCTATGCAATACTCGCACGGTCCAGTTATATATGGACCAAATGGGCAAATGCAATCGCCTTCGCAACTCGTCAGCATGCCAACCATATCAAACGAGATGGCTATGACACAAATCACAACAGTTAAAGAAACACCATTGCCCTTGGTTCCATATGGGATACCTACGCAAAAGCCACTCAGTAGACCTTCCTTTATTGTACCACCGGCGGACGTGCAAATCATCATCGATAAGATGGCGAGTTATGTGGCGAAAAATGGTCGTGATTTTGAGACAATCGTTAAGAACAAAGGAGATTCTAGATTTAACTTCTTAGAGCTATCACATCAGTATCACGGTTATTATGCGCACAAGCTTACGATGTATGAAGGTGCGACAAATCCGAAGGTGTTGACGGAAGAGGAACTGCTACAGAAGCAAGAACCGCAGGAGGAAAAACAAAAAAAGCTAGAGGAATTGCAGAAAAAGCAGCAGCGAATGGAAGAGGTGCAGAAGCGGGTGAAGATGATACAAGCGAAGAAAAAGAATGGTGGCGACACAAAGACGAAACAGAGCCCCACAAAACAGATCACCACCGTATCGTTTTCTATCAAAAAGCCAAAAGATGGAGAGAGCACGGTGATCGAGAAGAGAAACGCGTTACCGTTGGAGGAGAGTGATGAAGAGATGGACGACGACAAGAAGGACACGAATTCTAAACCCAGTTCACCTCAGAGTAGCAATGCCGACGTGAATGCTTCGATCCCCGCGATTGAAGACAAGGATCCACCGAAACCAGATAAAAAACCGAAGAGCGACGACAAAGAATTGGTGGATCTGACCGATGATATTCTCGAGGATTGTCAGAAGGAAATCAGGCACAAACAGGCGCAGGAAGACAGACTCAAGGACAAGTTGATGGCAGCTGCGCGAGATAAGCTACTATCCAAAGAACGACAGTTGCAACTTGAAAGGAAAAAGAAAGCGGCCATCTTTCTTAGTCATATCCAGGCACCAACATCCAAGACTGGTTCTACTACTGTTACGGTGAATCAAAATTCGCGAAAAGATGACTCGGATGAAGTGCACTCCGTACCGTCGCCGCTTCTCGTCGAAGAAAACAAAGATAGATCTTCGCAGGATACGAAAATATGCGGGAATTCCTTGATGGATCGGCTAAAAAGCGCAGACTTGAGCGGCAAGAGGTCGCGACAGCGTTCCCGGAGTCGAAGCGGAAGTCGTACGGACCGGCATAAGCTGCACAAAAAACATAAGAAAAAGAAAAGTTCTCATCGAAGGTATTTGAAGTTGTTTGATTTTTCGCTTTCTTTAAAACATGTTTAAAAGTATTTCAATTTTTATCAAAAATAATGTGTATGATTTCAGCAGTTACGATAGCTCCAGTTCCTCGCGCTCGCATCGTTCCAAGAAGAGCAAGAAATCGTCCTCGCACAGATCGCGATCGCGCAGTCCCTCGCATAGACACCGACACAATGTACGACGGCGAGGGAGCAACACAAGCTATTCTGACTCGAGCTCGCCCTGATGACACCTTTCCGCTTGATTCAAATAAGTTTGTATCAAGCAATCTTGTATATACGCACACAAAATGAATATATAATAATATATAATATATTATATATATATATATATATATATATATATATATATATATTTATATATATAAATATACATATAATATATAATTATAATATATAAGAAATATATATTATATATATAATAATATTATAAATTGCGTGCATATTGTGACGACTCAAATTTGATATAATTTTTGTCACAAAGAAAACACAAGGAAATTTATTTGCTCGTTGATTGCCATTCAACGTGTTTCGTATAGACTATATCTTTTATGCCATTTATATATATGCATTTCTTTTCATCATTAATCATATCTTTGGCGATGTATCCTTTCGATGAAATTATCAAACATTTTTGATGTCGCTTATTTATCTATGTCTCAAATCCAACTTATACTTTTCCAAATTTTTCCTAAATTCCAAATTACATAATGTATAAACAGAGATTTCTTACGTTATTTTCCAAAACCAATGATTTAAATCTTTATATAGTTGATTATGTAATAATGCATTAAAATATGAGAGGTGTATGATTGTGACAAAGATATAATAAAATAGGAATTGTATATATTAAAAATTGCTATTCTAAATATGACACATTGTGAGAGAAAGACATAATAAAATAGGAATTATATATATATTCAAAATTACTATTCTAAATCTGATACATGTGAAAAAGTATTGGATGACTTACAGAAATTCTGATCATACACATCCAAACATAAAAATTTCCTGATTATATAATAGTATAGAATGATTATGCAATATTAAAAGGTTTATCAAATCGAACGTTTCCACGCATGATGTTTTTAAGTGTTACATTTATCAAATGTAAATATTACTGTTTTACTTGCGTAAGCATTTACTACAACACTTGTGTGCGGTATTAAAAATGAAGTCTCTAAAGAGTGAAGTACGTATTTCACGCGTAATATGTGTAGCAATTGAATCTATTTGCAGCAGAACGACGTCAATTATATTATATATATTTGATATTATTTGAACATTTTTGTTGTGCGCCAAGTATCAACAGATCATTGTGACAAATCAGTTCAGTTTAACACTTAAGTTAAGTGGACAATTACTATTATCGAAGTAATAAATAGCAGATTTATGGATGGACAATTTAGAAGTCTATTTTTGAACATATTATTATCAACATCTATTTCTTTCGCTAAATGTGTCTTGTTTTATAATAAAAAATAAATTGCTGAGAGAGAAAAAATCATTTGACTTTTCTAAAAAAAAAATTTGTTAATATTTTCTCTTAGAAATATTTAAAATTTTTATTTATTTTTTGTTTAAGACTATTTCATTGTAAAATTCGTAATTTTTCGGAATCAATGAATGAATGAATAAAAATGCACAAGACTTTCATTCAAATTAGATTACTGGAATAAAGAAATTTCAGTCGTAAACTTTTTTTCAAATTGCTCATAGAGAGATACGCACCATAAATCAGTATATAAAGAGTGTCATTCATAACGATGATAAGTGATGGCCTTCTATGTTAGTACCAATCCAATTTCTGCATTATCATGATAATTATCATTATTTTTAATGTTTTTAGTGTGATGATATTTACTTATTTATTAAAAAAAAAAAAACTAACTTCAATTTCAGTTCAGAATCAATTTCATATTGCCAGATCGATCAAGAGTTATACAGAAAATTCGTGAAGACGTCAAAAAGTTTTTAACTTCAATGCATAATACATCATTTATTATAAATACAAGCTGCATTTATATACAAAACTATTTTGTGTAATACATAAGTCGAACAAATTCTGTATTGGATGAAAATATTCATAATAAATCGCTCATCTTATTCACGTTCGACAATGTATTTACAGTAGTATGCATTTGTAGCATATAGAAGTGGAGAGAAGGGAAGATATATACGATATAACGATGATTTGACATTTGTGCGTGTGATCACTAATCGGGCGATAAGGGGATCAAGGGTGAATTATCTTCGACTTTATAAGTCAGCTGTACGAAGGAAAGAAGGCGGCAGTTGTATTTTCATTAACAATCGATCAACAGCTACAGGATGACTGCTACGACAGCTGTAAGTATCCTGGTACTTTTGACAGAATTTCGCGGCAAAAATTCAAGCTTGCAATAAAAAAGAAATGTAATATCGCGATAGTAATAAACTTTTCTTTTAAATACATATATTAATTATTTTTTATAAATTAATTTTTTAGACTTTTTAAAATAATTTTAATGCATAACTTAATATTTGTAATATATAATATTTAATAACACAATTAATATTTTTAATAAACTACATTGTACTTGGTCTCTTAAAATTTTTCATACAATTTCTTCTCTTTTGGCTGTAATTTGTTTTTGCAAACATCACATGAAATTTATACACTGAAAAAAATGACTAAATTAATATACATGTATATATATATACTAAGACTATTTCAAGGTTCTTTAATATTAAATATATAAATACAATTAAGAAAGACCTTTCTTAAAAAATTAATAAATATTTATTTGAATACTACCAAATAAATCATTTATTTGAAATAAATAAATATTTATTTGTTTTAAAAAGGATTTCCTTATATCAAATAAATATTTTTCATATCAAATTAATATTATTAGTTTCAAATAAATGATTTATTTGGCAGTTGAAATAAATGCTTATTCAAATTCAATAACATTTTTTTTCAGTGTACAACACGTGTTTTATATGTCACATTTCGAAATTCTAGCTCTAACAATAAGAAAAAAAACTAAATAAAATTACTGCAATACTTAACATAATATCAACATTTATTCGATATCGTGATTCGTTTGCGTCACTAAATTATTATTACATTCGATTATGTTAACATTATTCGTATATGTAAAATTTTCATAAACACATGTAGTAATAAATAGTTAAGTACTGCAGCATAATCGAAGCAAATTTCTTTTTCTTCGATCTTTCCATTCTATATTAATCGCTAAAAGAGATTAAAATCATAAAAATACATATATAAAGTGCCTTTGAACAAGTTGGATTTTAGAAGCGTATAAGTGTGTGAAATACTATTTCACACATTTTGAGATTTAAAAAAAATGAAAAAGGGAACCTTTTTTGAATTATCTATAATATATTTTATAGGATAAAATACATGTAATTTGTAATATAAATAAAAAAATGTCTGCGCTCTAATCTGCGTATATAAAGATTTATATACTTAGATTAAAAACTTCTGACTTTTTGCAACATAATTATTGTTGTAATTCTTGTTACAAACGGAAATTATTACTTGATTATCATTAGGCTTAGAGAAAGATACAGATACATTAAGAATCTCTGATAAAAAAATCAATACAATACATTAGGAACCGATAGGGTTGGTATATAAACAATTTTATCTTTTTCTATCGTTAACCTATATATATTGTTTCACTTTTTACATTTCGAAAGATATATTATCGTTTTTTATTGTTTTCTTTCATTTTCTGTTAAAATTATCGAATTCAGTTGTTAGAAAATGATAAAATTCTTATAATAATATATTGTTTTTATCGATTTTTTTATCAGGATTGTTTTATACGTCATTTAAAAATTACAATGAATATTCCATAAGCTATCACTTATGAACTTATAAAATCATTAATTTAATCAATGCTGATTTTAACTCGTTTTTTTTTTTTTGAAAACAGGAAAAATATTTTCAATGTAAATAAGTTTTCGTTTATAATAGATATGGTAAATCATAATTTCCATATTTATATCATATGATATATTACTATGTATTGTGATTGCACAATGCTAGCAAAGAATAAAATTGCAAATTTATTTTTTACATATGTAAAAGGCAAACATAAATGGATATAAAAAATTAATTTCCAAATTGAATTATAAAACAAAGTATGGTTACATAATAAAAAAATTTTAATATTTTTGTAAAATAACTAAACTATAATTATTTTTTACAATATGTATATATCGTAAAATATAATTAAAAATTAATTTATAAAATAAATGTCGTGACTGTATACATATTTCGAGGATTTTTTCGTATATTACGAGTTTAATAAATAGTGTATATAGACTCTGTGATAATAAGAATAATTTTTTAACAGGCAAGGGTATATAAAAAAAATAATTATAGAAATTGTGGAAATTGTTTGATGGATTTATTAAGAGTGATTGATTTGCTGCAGCAACAAAACCATGTTAAATTGCTGGATCCATCGGAACAGTTTCGGCCCGAGCCGATACATGCTGGAAAATTGCAGAGTGAATTCCGCAATTTCGAGGAAGATTTCGAAGATCCTATCAAAGAACGTGTTCGCAAAACTTACGAGGCGATGCATACCAATCAAACCGTCGAATTCGTGAAATGTTAGTAAAAAGGATATATCAAATCTTTATACCTATTGGATTATAAATTGCATACTTTATTTGCCTTGAATGTTGATTACTGAATGTTCACCTCTAATTAATTTGAACGATTGATTAATGTCTCGTAATTATTTACCGCTTCGAATATAATCAAAAAGACGAAAACCAGATAAAAGAATGATAAAATCATTACTTTTCTTATAGCTCGCATGAAAGATTGGCTGCAGTTTAATAAATTCAAGATGACGATAAAGGATGCCCTGCTGAAACTAAACGATCTCATAGACGAAAGCGATCCGGACACTGATCTGCCTAATATCGTTCATGCATTTCAAACTGCAGAGTCTATCAGGAAGGAACATCCAGATCTGGATTGGTTTCATCTCACCGGCTTAATTCACGATCTTGGAAAGGTAATGTAAAATACATTGAAAAGAAATGTATTAAAACTTGACTAAATATTTTGTTAATTGAGCCATATAAGAATATTTAAATTAAATATAACATATTATAAATCTAACAAAACGTATGTTTGACTAATAATTCGAAATAATTTACACGTGTGTCAGATTATCATTCGCTCAACATGCAATCGGATAACAAGGTTGATCGTTCGTTGCAGGTGATGGCGTTTTATGGAGAACCTCAATGGGCAGTAGTGGGTGACACATTCCCTGTTGGTTGTGCTTGGGGTGATTCTATCGCGTACAGAGCAACGAGTTTCGACAATAATCCCGATGGCAAAGACTCTCGCTACAAGTATGTCTCAATGTTATGTGTATATATTATGTTACTTTTCATTTTGTCTTCGAAATTCACTGTCAATACTGGAAATCTATATACTGAAAAAAATATTTATGTAAAATTACATAATTATGCTAGGTTTTTTTCCGACCTAGCATAATCATCCAATTTTTGCATATTTAATATAATGTATTTTCACTTTAAAAAAAATGGAAAAATAAATTACAGTGTTAGGCAAGTAATTTTTCAATTCTAAACAAGTAATTTCCATGTAAAAATACATGGACCTTTTTCAGTGTAGAAAACTTTAGGAACCGATAAGATTTGTAAACAATTTTATCTCTTCCTATCATAATCTATTTGTTTCACTTTTTATATTTTGAAAAAAATGTTATCGTTTTTTATCGTTTTTTTTTTTCATTTTCTGTTAAAATTGGATTCAGTCGTTAGAATATGATAAAATTTTTATAATAATATATTGCTTTTTATATTATCATATTTTTAATCAGAAATGTTTCCGTCACAGATATTATATATATATTTTCAGTGTATTGGGCAGTGAACTTCAAAACACAGCTCTTATTAAATTTAAATTAAAACTCCAAAGTCGCAAAATTTTAAATATTGAAAGAAAAGGCAGGAAATATATAGGATAATTTAAATATATGAAAACTAAATATATATAATTGCAAATATGTCATACACTACTGCATTATTTTTTGTTGTAGTACAAAATATGGTATGTACAAAGCCAAGTGCGGAATAAGTAATTTAATGATGTCGTGGGGCCACGACGAGTACTTGTATCGTTTACTCGTACACAACAAGAGTAAATTACCGGATAAGGCTTTAGCTATGATCCGTTTTCACTCCTTTTATCCTTGGCATGCTGGCGGCGATTACATGTACTTCTGTACTCCGGAAGACATCGAGATGTTAAAATGGGTCTTGGAATTCAAGTAAGTATAGAAAATATCATTACAATTTGTAGTAAAATATATAAAAAATTATAAAATGTTATTAATTAAAAAATAATCCATGATCATGAATTACTATCTATTTAATTTAAAATAAGTATCAAAAAATTAAGGAGATATGTGATTAAATTAATTTAACATAATGAACAATTTTGCAGTAAATTCGATCTTTATACTAAGAGTGACGGCGTACCTGATATTGAGAAATTGTGGCCTTACTATGAAAAATTGATCGATAAATATATTCCCGGGGTGATCGAGTGGTAAAGAGTTAATATCTATACCTTCTTGTTTCTGATATATATATATATATATATATATATATATATATACAATTACTTTGATATTTTATAAATAATAACATTATATAAATAATATGCAATTATTTTATCGTTAAATTTATATGTGTATGTGTGTGTATTTATGTATATATATACATACACGCACACACACACACACACACACACATGTATGAATACATGTACACATGATAGAAATAATTTTATTTAACTTTTATATATATTATTTTTTAATGAATTTATTTTTTATAATTTTATAATAAAATCAATATGTAATTTGTTTATAATAAAATCAATATCCACCAGCGTTATATCGCGCGATGATCTTATATATGTAACACACACAATTATATATATTATATATATTATAAATTATAATATACATATATTGTGTATAATACGCATATATTATATATATTTCTTAATGTGAAATTTAGTGAAAGTTCTGATAAAATATAATATATAAATGTCTATAAACAAATCTAGATTATATTTAAAAATTTGAACTAATTAAGCCTATATAAACAAATCTAAACTATATTCGAAATAAATGAATATCCAAACATAAAATCGAATCGTATATTTAATTCAAGAGCTTGTTGAATCTCTCGATATATTTAAAATTTAAATAACGAGACTACGAAGAAATGATGTATAAACATTGCGAATTCATGAATTATACCTCATTACTTCATTCTTTCTGCGGAAGAAATTCTTCTCCATGCATAATCTGAGTTCCAAGATTCTGGTACATAGTTCGCGGAGCGTTTAAATTAACTCACGCGTAATTCACTTCCGAAAATTCGCGTTCGAGTTTTTAGTTTCATAAAATTGATTAGGCCTCCGCGCTGGCTGGGCGCGATGATGAAGTTCGCGGTTATCTCGATTAGGTGAGTAATCCGTTAGTTAAATGATAGGGGAGCTTGATTCACCCGGGCCAGGCAATACTTCGAACAAAGGATTTGTTCTCTCCAGGAACTGGTTTGTTCATTTTTTTTATCAGTGTATTTGCAAAAGATAAATTGTAAGGTCACGCGTTTGTGGGATATAATTCATTAATTATTCTATAATTAAATGATAATGATATAAAATTCATTTATATGATATGAATAAATTGTTTTCTTGTATACGAACATCAGTCATATCGTATAATGATTATACGTAGATCGTTTGTAATAATCAATTAAAGTTGAAATAATATTTTTCAATCAGATCCCTCGAAGGGGAATTTTAATTTTACTTTGTGTTCCGCGTATAAATAAACAAACTGTATTACTTTCGATAAATTGTTATAATGTATTTTGTAATGTCTGTTGTTTTTTGCGCCACATACATGACTTTTTAGTTTGTTCTTATAATTACAATTACGAGAGTGTAATCTAGGACGTTATAGTTAGCAAAGTCCTGGTGGTACAGTTAGTTAACGACACAAGCTTTCCCGCTCGTTGTCACACTTATCACATAATATGAATGCGATAAAAGCTAAAGTTTTGGCATTCGCAGTTGTTCATCGATGTGTAAAGATGCCTAGGAAGTTTTCAATAAACCGGAACAATCTACTATGCTAAACGACACGCCGATATACTGACAGTGTCAAATGCTACTATAATAGGGCGCAGCCTCTTTATCATATATTGGTTTCACCTCGTATATATATATTATATATATATATTATATTATATTATGTGAGACTATATATATATATATATATATATATATATATATATATATATATATATATTATGTGAGACTATATATATATATATATATATATATATAGTCTACATAATATAATAACTCCTCTTGCATTTATATTTTCGCGGTATTTGCTTTTGCATGTTGAGAATTTAATCAAGAAATTTTTAAATTGCGCGATATTGTATGTAATTAATAAAACACATGAAGGCAACATGGAGAAAAAACAATATAGAAATAAAAGTTTGTTTAGGTAATGGTTTAGAAATTGCAGATAATTATACACAAAACTACAGTTAACGTGGTAAAAAATTATAGCTTACAAGACCTTATATCATGAAGTCTTTTGCATTACGAAAAGTCTTATATTCTCGATACATTTTAAAAAAGGTATACGTATATATAATTATTTATTTTTAGTTAAATTATCCAGTTTATTAATCTATTTTTCTAATTCTATAATTTATTTTTAATTTTATATTTTATACTGTTTTTTTTTGTTTATTTTATTTATTAACTTTTTCAATTATTTATTATTTTTATTATTAATTTAATTTATTTTTAAAAAGTTTGTTTAGGATTAATTAATTATTCGATGAGAGAGAAGAGAGAAGTCTTTTATTAAAAGCGCTACTATAATTTCAAGACGCAATTCTTGTAAATGTCTAAATCATTTACATAAGCATTATATTCATTTAAATCTATATGAGGTAACCTTTATGGACGAATGTCTATATACAAAAATGTGTTTAATGCACGATAACCTTTCGATAAAAGTTATAAAAGAAATTAATCCTGGGGTAGAGTACCTCTGTGCGAATCTTGTTAGCGAGTTGATCGATCGTAAACCGTTGTTTTGTATGGGATAATTGTCGGTTATGTTTAACAAGCGAGTGCGCACACATAAAATATATGCGAAACGTGCATTCTAATTTGATTGTTTTGCAATTAAGTATACCGTCGTCGATCTTTCGCAAGACGCGTTTAAAAAACACACGTGCACAATTTTTATCTATCTTAATGTCATATCTTTTTTATTTAGATCTCGAATTAATTTACAGTTAATACGTGTCAGAAATTAATTGTGAGAAATCTATATCTGTGTATGTAAAAGAAGGGGATGTGATAAATATTTATTAACTATGATTTATGATTCTGCTTGAAAACTTCACCTTAAATGAAAAAGTTTATCTTTCCTAATAATAGGAATCAAAAATTATTTCGCTAAAGGAATTTTTCATATTTATTGCGAAAGAATTATGAACCTTGATGCTATATGGATGTTCTCAGTTTTATTGATCTTTGATCGCCGTGGAAAAAGAGGTCCAAATAGCTATATTATCTAATTAATGATTGCGCGTCTCGTTAACGAGGTGGAATTATTCCAGTATAAAGCTGCTGTGCGCGGCATTTATTAAAGAATCGACCCACCTCGAGAGTAATTGTTGGTTTTTTATTCTGCATTCACGATGTACATGTACATACTTTTTTAGAGATCGCGAAGGGAGAAGGGATTGGATCCCTTCACCAACCTCTGGAATATGTGCAATGTAATAAAAGACTAACAGGTCGCGTGTAGCCATGTAGTTACTCAATCTGAAATGAGGTTGCATCGATCTTTCAATGCGTAAAGGTATCCTGGAGTCGCACACATTTGATCATAATATATAGTATATAATACATAATATTAAAATAGAAAAAAATAATTTATATTTGAAAGAAATATATCATTTTTCGTAATTTTATTATAAAGTATCTGTTTTTTAAGAACAAATAAAAAATGTAATTATATAAAGTAATTAATACTATAAAAAATAATTTTTATATTCAACTACATTTTTATTTGTTCCTAAAAAAACAGATATTTATAACAAAAATTACGAAAAAAGATATATTTCTATCCAATAAGACCTTCCTATCATTTCAAATATAAATTACTTTTTTTCATTTTAATATATACATATATATTCACTATAACGGATCCTGACATCGATAACAGGGGATTTTCTGCAAATTATTTAATTGGTATTTTTTTATTTCATACTACTTAGCTTTTACTCCAGAATCAATGACAAATTTTTTTAAATTTATATAATAATTTAATTTAATTTATATAATAATTATAAAATAAAATAATTTCAATTATAACATTAACATTACAGTAATATATATAATTTTATTTTATTTTTAATATGTCAAAAATTTTTTTTATATTTCTGAATTATAAATATGTAATTCAGTATAATTTTTTATTATTTTCCTAAAAATAACTAAAAATAACATTTACATATTTGTAATTTAGAAATATAAAAAAAATGTTTGACATTAAAAACTAAAATATTATATATATTATTGTAATGTTAATGTTAGAATTGAAATTATTTAACGTTTATCTTATGATAAATGATAAAAACATAGATTAAATTTAGCAACTGACAAGAAATTAATTTGATCATTATTTTCCGAACAATCAAGTTCACGTAGGTATCACTTTTAATTAAGTTTTGCCTACGTCTAAAATTTGATTAATTTGTCTCTTTTCACGTCTCTGTCGAATTTAGATGATACATTTATATACAGCTATTTATTTAAAGAGCTAATGAAAAATAAGTGTTTTAAAGGCTCATATAGGTACTTAGTAGACGTATAATATTCCATATTTTAAAATATTTTAATAATGTTCGCGTCAGTTTTTTCGATTATAATATGAAATGTAAAATTCGTTGCAACAAAATGTACTCTTGCGTTTTCTCACGGCGGTCCCTTACTTCGAAGATGCGATCGGTCGAGTTCGTTACCATTCTCCGGCGAGAAGGGGCTTCTTTATTTTTAGTGATTCATCGAGGCATTCGCTGCCGGCGCTTCTTCATCTCTACCTTACAGGATTCCGATATTCGCAACTTCACATGATTTCCGCCTCGTGGGTTTGCCACGGCATTACTTCCTTTCACCAGGACCGCCGCGCAATTCATCCTCTTCGAGATCTCCCTGTCCTGGTTAAGTTTGAACAACTTCCATCATTTCGTTTCAGAATATTTGCAATTTTTTTTCAATATAAAATTATTCCATTTTCACAATTACGTTGACTTATAATTTTCATTGCATAATTATAATACTTATAATGTACTTATAATAATTATATTATGTATGTTTAAATAAGGGTTTTACAATAGAAACTCTCTTCTAAATCATCTTTCGGCAGAATTTATCTTTCCATCATTTCGTTTCAGAATAGTTTTAATTTTTTTAATATAAAATTATTCCATGTTCACAATTACGTTGACTTGTAATTCTAATTCAGGGTGTTTAGCGGTCTGGAAGATCTGGAAAACCGGACATTGTCAAGGAATTTTTTAATCTGGAATTGTCAATGAAAAATCAAGAAATTTTACTATTTATTTGGATTTTTTCACATTAATTTACATTTATCTCAATAATTTGAAATTTTTTATTAAATAAATATAAACTCTTCCTTGACTCCCAGCACGCTAATTTTTTGTGTTGAAAATCGATTCATCTACAGCGTGTTCGTTAATTTATATTTTCATCGTCGCGTTATTTTATTTCAATGTGTTTGATAGAGACAAAACTAAAAAAATTTGATACAATATAAATAAAAAAGGTGATTATTTAAATAGTTTATAGTGACACGTTTGTTTCGATTATCGCACATAATGCAGATTGTATAATTAATTTAAATTTTTGTTTCAACTTCCGTACTTTTTCAATGTTGACAAAAATATCTCAAGGTTTTTATGATTTAACATTTAATTGATTTATAATATAGATATATACAAATTATATATTTGGAAAAAATAATACTAAAAAGTCAGGGAAAAAATGAATATCTAATCTTGAAAAATCTGAAAAAGTCAGGGAATTTTTGTCAGTGAATCTGCTGGACACCCTGTGATTGCACGTCATAGACATAATTTATACGATACATGTTCTATTATTATAACACAACAAAAATATTTTTAATAATTTAAATTTATTGTTAGCGTATTTCGCCTTTTAATTTTGACATAATTATTTAATTTATTTTGACATTGTATTGCGACTTTTTATTAGAATTTTTATTTATATTTATTTATTTATTATAATATTTATTGCGCACTGAAGAAGACTGAGTACAGTTCGAAACGTTTGTAATTGGTTTTTTTAAATTAAAGTTTTTCCAATAAGATTTATAATAATTTTTTATTTGCTCGTTACACATGGCCTCGTAATATTTAATAAGTTATCATTGTGTCTATTATTATAATTTGTATGTTGAAAGGGTTTGAAAATAAAATCTCTCTAAACTGTCTCGACAGAATTAATCTTCGCGTTCGGGGTTGATATCAGGCGAGCAGGGAGATGGGAATCGTGACGAAGCGATAAATCGTTCCCGAGGCGTTCTTCTATGGAGAACAGGTGACTTACCGAGAAGTCCAATTAGCGGCGATTCCGCGACCGAGGAGCGAGCGAGGCGCGCATATAAACGCGAGCTCGCGGCACGGCGCGTTGATTAAAATCGCGAAAGAAACCTCCCGCTAAGCGAGCGGCGGAGCTGCGTGTCGACGAAATTGGCTTAGTCAGCGGTCGTATTACAGGGCATTACGGAACATTAACGGGACATTATTGTGCCAGCATCAGCTCGCATCATCGTCGCGGCTATATATCCCTGTATGTGTGCGCGCGTTTCTATGACAGAGAAAGAAGGAACGCTATAGGTCACGTAGCTCGTGAATCATGCAACCTTACCTTTTACCTGGTAAGCGATCGCGACTTCTCGGAAATATTGACTCTGCATACGCAAACGTAAACGCCCACGCGGCCTCACGTAACCGAGACCCACACACGGGACATTCAGTTCTTCTTTCTCTCTCTCTCTTTCTCCTTCTCGTATATAATATCCAGATAGTCAACGCAATCTCCAGATAGTCAACTCACGTCGAAGGTCGCGAAGGTCTTCGGTATAATGAGGTGCAGCGTAACTGATGCTGGGGCGCTTGCTGCGATAGGGAATTAAAGTTCGTGGAAATGGCACAAGGTTCCTGAAACGGAGATTCGTAAGATCTTAATTCGTTATGCGAAGACATTTTAGAGTTTGTAGGAGAAAATTTGTACATTATTCAGATTCGCAGGATTCACATCCAAGTTCCAGTTCGAGTTAAGTAATGAGAGATCAAATCGAGCATTATGAGCAATGTTGGTCGATCATTTTTGCAATATGAAATCAATTTTCAAATTTTTAAATAATCATAGGAGGGAGAATAAAAGAATCGTCAATTATATCGTTTGAGTGAAAACGTTTATTAAAAAGGGAAAGGAATTCGAAAAATCATTTTGCACCATGACATAACAGCTGGCCACACATTGCTTCCGCGACTAAGAACTAAGAATACCTTACTGGAGCTTGAATGAGAAGTCCGATCACACTCGGCATATATCCCTTCCGGTTTTCATCTATTTCAGTCAATGCAGAATTAACTCTCTGCTGTACGATTTAGAAACGAGGTCGAGGTACGAAAATGCTTTGACGAATTTACATATCGCATCGAAAGATGTAACTACAGATAATTTATACAGCAATTTGCTCCATTGTATTTTTTGATTGAGGAATCGATTTGTTGCTTAAAGATAAAGTGTAAAAATATAATAGAACAAACGAGAGAAAATATATTTTGATTAAAAAGGAATTCAAAAAACTAAACTCATGCACATACACAGACCTAATACACATATAATATTTATATATATTTTAATAAATATATTATGTAGTTACAAAATTTTGGGGAATGCAAATTTTTGCACAGGTGTCGCAAATTCATATACATAAAATTTGCAATGATCTTAATCTACAGATAATTTACAGCAATTTGCCATTTGTCGTCCACTTTCTACTTAACGGTACCTTAATAATTTGAAAATGTAACGCAAATAAGTCTCTTTTTGACTCGTCCTTGTTTGAAGAAATTCGAGATAATCGTCCCTGCTTCTTTTTTCGCAGCGCGTAACATGAAATATAATGCGATGATCGGAAGATAATGTGACAGGTGAAATTTGTGTCCCTTAATGTAAAAAAAAAAAAAAAAAAAAAACGGAGTTCGAAACTGATGTAAAATATTTGAACATTTTGTCCGGAAGCACCGAACAAATTTTAACAATTTTTATTCACAATATATCTATCGTTAATAGTTAATGTATAAATCAATACTTTTTTTTAAAAACCCGATAAAGACATTTTTTAATCTTTCTTTTAAAAAAAATTTACAAATATAATACATTGTGACCTAATGTAATATGTTATTTAGAATAAATTATTTTATGATTATTTTTGCAGAAAGATATTCCATTTTTTCGTGACACTAATTTTTATGGTACTATATATCAAGTTCTCTCGTGTGGGTGATTATTAAGGTGTTTCTCTTGTCAGGGAATAATGTGTTTTAATTTAAGAGAAAGGTGAAAGGATATGCGGAATCAGGATGCGTACATATATGGGGGTGGTGAAATATGACAGTTTCACCTCACATCGGGGTTGTTCTTCTTTGTCTACCTGAGAGCGCGATTACTCTTCACGTTCATTATACGTCCGTTCCAGGAATTCGTAGGTTTCTCCGTAAAATGCGTCATAGGATCAGTGAATTATCGTCGCGGTACAAAATGTAACAACCTACATTTTTTCCTCATTTGCTTTTATTAATTTGACGGTTCCGGTAAACAGCTCTCCAGGATATTTTCCTATGAACTGGTTATATCTTTGTTTCAAATACATGGCGATAAGAGTGTTTCTCGTTAGTTTCAATTAAAAAAACAATGCTAATTATTCTTCTATATAATAATTTGTATCTTTTTAAATGATCTCTCTCTCTCTCTTCACATCACGCCCATTACATTTATTATATATTTACATTATATACCTCTCTGGTAATTTTTCCATTTAGATAATAGTGTATTTGATAAAAACATATATAATTATAAGCATTTTAATTCAGGTTTCATCAACTAATGCTTCCTCGGAAGTGCCTTTTGGATCGCTCTCCGTTTCATTATTTTAACATTCGCGTTACTGCAATTCACGATAACGCGTCACATTGCATATCAATCTTCCGCTACGGCTGCTTCCGAGAAACGCTGTATCCCTGCATACCGGTGCAACGGGTGCGTAAGTACGCCCCAGAGAAAAAGCAGTGAGTTATGACATATTTGTGGTCGAGAGAGAAAGAGAGGAGCCCTCTTTTATCCACCCCGGTGCAGGATGAGGCCTTTCGGCCGAGCTCTTGCAAAGACCCTATCACGCGTTTTATGCGTCCCAGACGCCGCAACGTGTAGTCGTGAGCATGTATTCTTGATGTCTTCCTTACGAGCGGAACACCGACAGCGAAGTCTTGCCTTGTATTAAGACCACTCCCACAATGTTCGGCGCCGTTAACTATAAACGATGGGTATACGAGGTATACGAGGTGTCCAGGTGTTACTCGTCGCCGCAAGTCTTGTCTCGAACATCATTATACTTGCGATGTTATATTCGCGGGTTTTTTTTGCAAAAAACTGGAGATTCAGAGTCGATTTATTCTACGTGCAATCGCGAGAGAAATGATAGGTATAATAAGAAAATAATAATAGTAAAGTTGTAATAATATTAAACGCGCATCAATTAAACTTTAATGATTTTAATGAGGCGTTTGAAATGACTTCCAAGAAATTTAAAATTTATGCGAATTTAAAATTGATCGACTTCTATTAAATTTAAATTTATTATGTCGCGATAGTTTACGAGTGGCAATTAATTTCTTAACGATACGATTTCTTAACTCGAGAACATCTTGCATTCACTTTTAATTTTTTACAGCATCCCCCGGACAATTCGCTTGCAATCGTCATGAATTATATTTTCGTGACTGCATGCAGTACATAAATAAATTCTGACAATCTGAGAGAAGGAATAAGAGACGCGGCCTAAAAAAGTTGGACGACGAAGGATGAACTTTGAGGTAATTGATTTTTTTATTTGTATATTATTTTTTATTGATCGCGTCTCAACCCTGTATTTATTTGATTCGTTTATTTGGATAATTTCAACAAAAATGAGAGAAAAGGCTTTTATATAATACTAGAGATGTGTCGAATAATAAAATTACTGGATACCGGATACCGGATTATTCGGTATCTTAATTTTCCGGCCGGATACCGGATATTTCCCGAATATCCGGGCATATCCCTATATATAATACTATTTTATTAAAAGCTTGTATTTAAAAAAAAGGTCTTTTGAAAATTATTATATAATTATATACTAATAAGTATTTGTTTATTTGATTACGCATATATAAAATCAAATATAAATTTCAATGCAATTATATACAATTTTTTGAAATATTCATCGATCATGGTTTTTTTATTTCATACATAAATTACAAATTTTTAGCCTTATACTATTTCCTGGTATTCTTACTTTTTGTATGCATCCCTCAGTCTCTTATGCAACCCGATATGTGTCCGATAATATACAGAGATTCTCTGTTTCTCGGAAAAGTATTATCAATTTTATATCTCCTCCCTTTTCTCTCTGCAAATGCGAAATCAATGTATGTAAAATGAATAAATTCGGCGAAAGTATTAGTCGCGATGGTTAAATTTTCAAGTTTTATTGTCAATTCTCATCTGGGGATTTCCGGGAGATAGCGATTGTCTTTCTCGCTTTTCGCGACATATTATATATTATCGGGAATCTCACTAATGCATTTTCGAGATTAACGGATTATCACGCGAAAACCATCCTTCCGCGAAAAAGGCGAGGGATTCACACGTGTCGCATTCGCGCGACCGTAGTTTCCCCGAAATCGATCGGCTTCCGGGAGGTGACTTCATTCGGGGATTCCGTCGCGGTCACGCTTTTATTTACGAGAGAAAGGAAGACGGAGAGAGGTTAAAAACATTACCTCACCCAGGTAACCAGCACCCTACTCTATTCGTTCGTCACGTGCACACGTAAGAACTTCGATCCTTGTTATACGAGGACGCGCGTAAAGCCCGAATCGTCATCTATTCAAGCCGATCGATAGACCAGTCTCGCTTTTGTTCACATTTTTTATGATTGATTTTCCCGCTGACTTTCTCGATGATTAACAACTGGAATTGTACGGTGTACGATATCTATCTTATACAGGCCAAAAATTCGCGAGAATTAATTAAAAAATTAATCGTTTAAAATAAAATTCGTAAAAAATATGAAAATTAAAATAAGATTGATAAAAGTCTTCTATTTATTTTTTTGTTTGTTGTAGAAATAAAAATGCAGCTGTTTTAGAATCTGAGATGTTAATATATCAATCGTTTTAGGAGCGAAAGTTCACATTTACTATTTTCAACGTGTATTTCATTCTGAATTACATAATTTCCTGCATCTCACTGCAGAGAAATCGTTATTATTCTAAGAAATTTCTTATCTTATTATATAATAATTGTAAATTCACATTTCAAACTTTTGAATTAGTTTCTTAATGCTACTCTAATAAAATAAAATTAAAATAGAATTATATATATATGGTATATATATATATATATAATATATATATATATATATATATATATATAAATTTGTTATGCAAGTATAAATTATTACTTTTTACTTTAAAGGTTATTACTATTTTTTAATTTCTAAAATAGCTCTTCGGAATAATATTTTGTATATATTCGATATAAAGCTCATATACGAGAGAATCTAGACATTGTAAGACGTCAACGATTATTCTCTTCTTGACGGAATATATTTTTCATAATTGATAGAAAAACAGTTGTCAGAGCGCGCAGATAAAGTGATGGAATTTGACGAAAGCCGAGAATGTGACATGCTTGTTATCACCGGAAGAAAAGCTAAGTGGGACGCTAACGAGAAAATCGAAGGCGCGGGGTTACGCGATTGGAATAATCGCGGGTCAAAAGTCACAATGCGGATGTATCATTTTTATTCCGTACCTCCGTGAACACGCGAACGAAGATTATACATATATAAATACGAGGACGCATTACCCTGTTAATTTTATTCTTCAATTATCACGATTCTATAATTGTAAGGCTCCTCATCTTTTTTTCCCCAATATATGCTGAACAAGATGAAAAACTTAAATTACATATGTATTTATCAACTAGATTTTTAACTCTTTCGTTCATATATTTTTTACTGTGTTTTACCTTCCTAGAGTATTGCTAGAATTCTAACAGAAATGAATTTAAAGAGTAACAAGAAATAGGCGCGCGTTAGAAAAATAAAAGATGGAAATTATAATATCGATTGCCAGCTGATCCTTTTTGATCGGTGCTTTAAAAAAACTCGTTTACGAATAAATACGATGTCGCGTTCTTGAGAAACTTAATACACGAAGCCTCGTCCCGCCGTCGAAGAATAAATCAACAGAAGGTCGCCGTCGAGACTCGATTACACCTCGCAATTAAACTTCAAACGGCAAAGATGAATTTAACGATTACAGGACGACAAGGGGGAATGAAGAGGGAGTGGGCGACGAGTATTCGATCACTTTATACTTCATCTCGTGCGTAATTGAACTTCAGCCGCGTTGCACTTAAGGCACCGCGAGAAAGTCGTTCGCGCTCTCGGAGAAATCGAGACTCGATGAGAATCGAAATTTGACGGTGATCGACTCGATGGGAATCATGGAGATGATCGTCGGTTACGAGAAAGTAGCGAAACCTTTCGCCTTTTTGTTGCGACAGAATGTAAGTGACCAGGAGTGGAGAAGTTTGAATTATCCCATTAAATTTGCATTTTAAAGATAGATTTATTCTAGGCTTTTTTGTACATAATTATGAAAGCCTAGAGTAAATCTTATTATTTTTTTACGCATTATATATTATATATTTATATATAATTATTAAATATAATTTATATAATATAGCGACATAATTTTGAGCGATAAATTTTTCATAAAGCTTTGTTTATGCGGTGCGTATTTTAGCTTCTAAGAACAAAAGGTACATTCACAGGTCGAGACAAATCACTTGGAATTGTTCTTTATTCGAAACGCCATTCGTCGATTAGGTACTTGGCTTGATACCTGAACAGCTGATTAAAGCGTATGAAATTCTGGGAAATGTCAGCCCTTTATTTAACGCAAAAAGACGAGTTCTGAACTGAGAAAAAAATTGTTAACTTGGTTAAATCGTTCAACTAATTATTATTTTGTTAATTGAGCATATACATATAAGTATTTGAGTTAAAACACGTTATGTTAGATTTAATACGTTGTATTTAATGTAAATATTTCTATATGTCCAATTAACAAAATGGTAATTAATTGAACGATTTAGTCAAGTTAAAATTAATAAATTTTTTCTCAGTGTGCAATTATGTAAAAACGTAAAAATATATTCGATATGTCAAATTTCTCGAGGTTTAAATTTGACAATTGAATTTTGTCGTAATTTTTAACAAATTACACTATATATACAGCAGATGCGTGAAAAATTATGCTTTATTTTAACGAAATTTTATCTCAAATTTTAAACATTATTCTTGTGATACATATATAAGTGCAAATATATTATTGCTATGGAAAATATGTATTTTTTTTTTTTGAATGACATTTACAAATATTTCTATAATATTTTTCGTATTATTTCATAACGAGAATTAAAGATTGTCAATCTTTTATTTTATAAAATCGAAATTTAACGCGTAAAGATGTTCAATAATTAACCTTTTACATCAAAGAAATTATCTTTTTGCATCGTATATTATTTTTTTTGCACGATATCTATATCTTTGGTCATCTTTGAATGATAAAAAATTGTATGATAATTTTATAACAACAAGGATGATAATTGCTAAATCATTTTCGAAGAAAGTACAAATTTACATATGGTGGATACACAATAAAGCATTCAGGGTTGGGTAAGTTAATGATTTTTTAAAACTAAGTTAAATTAAAGTTAATTGCTTATAAAATTAATTTAGTTAAGTTAAAAGTTTTTTGAACAAAAAATTAACTAAGTTAAAGTTAAGTTAAGATTAAATTAACTGAAGTTAAATCAAAAGTTAATTTTTGAAAATATTTATATTAAATTAGAATTTTGTTTGTTATAATTCTTTTAAAATATATAATAACAAATGACAAAGAAATTGTAATTTTTATATAGAAATATATTTTTTGGTAATTCCAATTGATGACAAGTAAACATAAAATTAATAATACTTTAATTTAAAAATTATACGTTTATAATTTATAAAAAAACAATAGTATTCATAGATAAAAAATTTAACTTACAAAAAAGTTAATAAGCTTAAATTAAGGTCAAAAATAATTAGTTGAAGTTAAAAATTAATACATTTTAAATTAACTAAGCTAAGTTAAAAGTTATGAACTTTTTTAACTTTTTTTTAACTTTAACTAATTAATTAGATATATTATTCAACCCTGAAAACATTTCATCAAATTATATTCTATTCTGTATAAAAACTTATCGATATCGAGTACGGACGTCTTTCGGAATTGAAGATTAGTAGAACTGAAGTACCGTGTTACGCGTATCATGTGTTTTACGTGGAAGAAGAATGCGCTGCTCCTATTTACCCCATTCGGATGACACCTTTGACGTTCGCGCTCCGACTCTGTCTCTCTCTCTGTCTCTCTCACTCGTTCGCTCACTTCTGCGCACTGCGCGACGCGCCGCGGCGGGATATATACACACGCGCTATCGCGGCTGGCTTCAGTCGACACGCGGCGCTCGTACGAGGTGGATCTTCGCGCGCTTTCCTTCCCGCGGCCCGAGAGGGAGAAAGAAGGAAGATAGCGATAAAAGCAAGAGAGAGAAGTGAATCGTGAGAGAAGTGTTTTATCTTTAATCGTCTCCGAGGAATCTCCGCGAATGTTATAACCGAAATTAGATTACCTCGCTATTAATGATCGTGATCGCGATGATTTCGTCGTCGCCGTTGTCGTCAATGGAAATAAGAAGAAGAGGCACGTCGCGACGAGATTTCCCCGTCGAGGATCCGGCTCGCGTACCGATTTTTTCATCGCGAACAGCTCCTAGAATGCCACGTGCCGGCATCTGAAAGAGATAGATCGATCAAAAGTAGTCCGAATTTCTCGAGACACTCGATTTACATAAACCAGCAAAAATCGGAAAGATATTACTTTGATCTTCCTCCGTTATCCGTGAAGTTGCATCCGGGAGTTCGATAGCATCGAACGACTGGAAGATCGAGAAAGGAGAGAGTTCTAACGAGCGACTAACTTCAGAGGAGACGCGTGTGCATTCCTCGCGCTCCTACAAGAAGTAGCCGGCGTGAGACCGGCCGCGGAGACGTTGTCCCTGGCTATGGGCAAGCTCTCGATAATCCCGCGAAGTGATACTGTTCGCGACTACGCAAGGGCGAGGAACGGCGCGGAAGAGGCGAGAACAACGGCGGCGCCTGTCCGAGGGTCCAGCGCGACGAGTGGCGCGATCGCCGATAGCGCTGCCGCCGATCGCGATTATTATCGATTCCTTATCGCGTCGATCGGCCGCAACGATGACGTGCCGTCATCGAGGGAAGGTGAGTTTCTCGACGGTTTTTCGGCGAGCCCGAAAGTCGTCGGCGGTGACGTTTCGACGAGCGATCAGCTGGTGATCGCCGCCCGTCAAAAGCACCGGGTCTCGATTGTCGCGCGATTGCGCGAAAAAGACACCGAAGTCGAACCTAACCTTCTCGCGCGGGATCACGATGATGACGATGTCGTCGAACGGACTTGTTGCGCTACCTTACTCGCGCGGAGACGAGCTCGCGAAGATTTTATTGGATTTCGTCGCTCGAGGAACGACGAACGACGAAATCGTCGGCGAGCTGTCAACGGCGGATCTGTCAGTGCGGAAAGATCAGCTGATGTAGTGGATGATATCGCGATCGGGCGGGAAGACCGAGATCGACTCGCTGGTGTCACGAACCGAGTTTCCAAGTGCGATGTTGGCGTTAATGCGAGAAACGATAATATCTGCAATTTTCCTAGACTGACTGGGTTCGTCAAGCCCTCGTGTATCTTCGCCGAGGAGGTGGCGCGAAGAAATACGTCGTCTTCGTTGCGATTCCCGGCGAGAATCGAGCATCGTGGAGGTCAAGTCTGGCGGATCAAGACGTGTCGAGGATTGCCAAGGATCGGATTTGTTCTGCGAGCTTTTCTATTGGGACTACTCATGATGAGTTTGTTCTGCGACCTAGTGCTGGCCGCGCCGTCGTCGTCGTCTTTGGAGGCGATGGACATCTTTGAAGATGACATCGAAGAGGAGCTGGTGATACCGAGAAACAAACTCGGCGAGGACGAGTTGCAAATTATCAGAAGGAGCATTGTGCAAGGTCTCGGACTTCAGAGAATACCTGATGCTTCGAAGGTGAGTCTTCATAATTGTCTGCAAACATAGAAAGCATTATATAATTGCACTTTTAAAAAAATATAAATTTTTTGTTATATTTAATGTGTACGAGAGCCTTTACTTGATTTTATTATTTTTATAGTCTTTCCAAAAATTGTTTTATCAGTTCAAATAATAAGAATTATAATGATTACAAATAGAATTTTTTAATATACTGTATTATTAATTGAATAGCATTGAAAAACTTGATCAAAACTAACAGTGCAATTATATATATATGTATTGATTACGAGAATATATATCATAGGAATTTTAGATATCATAAATAGGTAGGATGTAACAACTCGTGTGTATAAGGATAAAAACGACTGAATGCACTGTCTTTTTTGTCTGAATCAAATCAAATCGATTGTATAAAAAAACAAGACCTCACTTCATTTATACCGATGATCCCAGACGGTAGGAAAAAAGTCGATAAATTATAAATTATTACAGTGATATGATAAGAGACGGGAATGCGGTGACGAAAAAAACGTCTTATTCGCGCCTTCGAGTTCGTTGGTCGAGATCAACGTTGGTTGTTGAGATAGACACAAGTACAATATAAAAAAGTTAAATCAAATATAATAAATATTTCTCTCTCGTTTCCGGGGGAAAAAATTCACTTTTAACTATTAAATTATACTTCAAAAAAAATAAACAATTATATATCTTTTTACGTCTTGCGTAAATAATATTATTTGTCTAGATTGAATGAGACTAGACTTATTATTGTTAGCGCGATTCGCGCGTGCGCGCTTTATATATATACATATATATCGCCTTTTATAGATTATAATTATATCTCTATGATAAAGATAGAGGAAGAGAGGGTTTTTTCTTGCTCAAAGTCAGCGCAACGATGATCCGAAAATAAATCTTATAAATTATGCTCGTGATATGCACATACAATGTTCTGCTTCGAAATTCTTTAAGGGTAGGTGGTATAAATTCAGATGTCCTTGCACGGGGCGATATTTGCACGTATAAACGCGAGTACTTCATATCGATTATTCGCATTCACATCGGATGTATTCCGGTATATCTAGAGATGAAGACCGTGTATATCATATCATATATATGTATACGGCAAAGTCGCTCTCGACCCGAGATCACGAGAAAATGATCTACGTCCACGAGCGGACTTCAGCGAGGCTCTCGCCGAGCCTCCGAGGTTCGTTGACATCGGTTAGACTGAAAAAGGTTTGCACACGTAACCCATACACACTCGCGTTCTATCCGAGCGATGAAAAAGCACGACAATGCCATTCCAGGGGAACACGTGACACGTCGCGTGGTCGGTCAGATCATTAGTCTCATAAATTCTCGCACGAAATATACCCTCGCGCGCTTGGAAAGCTCAGATTCTTTAATCCCTCGACTGCTTCTCCGACCATACGTTTTTATGACACCCTGAAGACTGCTCGATCTCTCGCGTGTTTCGCTTTCATTTCAGTTTTATTACATTTTATTTCTCATGTACGTGTTACATTATTAATAATATACAAGTGATATACAAGTTTTGGTAAATTCTCATGCATATTTAAGATATTACAATCTTAGAGAGAGAGAAAATATTTTTTAACTTTGCCATGTTTCCGATTATGTCTCAGAAATATGATAACGCTTAATAATTAATTATGTGAAGAGAACATTTCGTTAGAGTGTTTCAGTGATAGATACGATGACCATGCCTCCTTTATTTTACAAGACAATTTTTTATTTCAAATAGTTGTTCTTTAGATTTATTCACTTTTTTCAAAATTCAATTTTGTCCTTTATATTACAATTTTAGCCTTTATTTTTTATTTAGCATTTTAATATCTAATATTGTTGTATATTAATCCGAAATCTATTTAAGAAACTAAGAATTTGTTTGGACATAGTCGAATCAATTTCAAAAATACGTAGACTTCTGATAGTCACAAAATTATTTTTTTTGCTCGTCGATCTTTACTTCGGTTACAAATTAATTTGGAAACAAAGTTCTACAATTTTCCGTAATTTCACCTTCTCTTCGCACAATAAAATATATGTAAAATTACATAAATCATTCAGTGTAAAATTACACGATAATTAATAAAAAATGTATAGGTATACATTTTCATTACTCATATATTTATGGTGTAAATCTATATTTATTATTTATGTATAATTTTACATATTTTTCTATAATATATTACACATTTTTTCGATACACGATGTAAATATTATATAGTATATGTACCGTATATTCGCGGAAACGCGCGATCTGGCACATGTATGCACGCTATTTGCTATGTAGACGCGACTAATAATCGCCGTCCCTTTGTCAAATGCCGACCAAGGTAAATAGTCTTACGACCGAATGCAGTTCCTGTCGTAGATAACGTCGCCGTTGAATTATATGTGCGAGCGATCTTTATCTTCGCACCATGAACGACCTCATCTCGTCTCTATTGCGTACGACAAGAGTCCCTCGATGTTATACGCGGTGTTGTACGCAACGCCGGTCATAACTTCAAGTTGATTTACGTCTCATTAAAAACTAGCTATTGCAGGGCTCATCTGTTTAAAGTCGCGATTCGAAAAAAAAAAACAACTGCGTGTCTCGAGGAAAGGAGTTAATTCATATAATTTCAAACACAGAGTGTCTTATATAAATAGAGTACAAATCTATATATATTTATACTGTTGCATTCCTTGTCAAAAAATATTAAATATTTTTTTCTTTAAAAGATTTCAGGAAAAGCACCGTTTTCGAGATATCTTATTTTTTTAACAAGTCAATATATTTGCTGTTTCTTGATTCTTTGTAAAATTTTGTCAATTCTATACTATAATTAAATTTGATATTTATGTATTATGTATTTATGACATTAACATCTTACTTTATATCAGAGCCGAAAAGCGTATACTTTTTTTTGTCATAAAGGAATTTATTTCACAACTACTTAAATAAGATTTCTTCAAGTGTTTTATTATCAAAATAATTAGATATAATTTTAATACAATTTTTGCACGAACACTCAAGAAACAGAAAATATATTTTAATATATTTGGGATATTAAAAAATGAAAGATTTTGAAAACGATGTATTTTCTTTGTAAATTTTCGATGCAAATTTACCATAAGAAGAAGATGCTTTATGTATTTTGACAAAAAATACAATAGTTTGTACTCTATATCTATATATAAAATATTTTGTGTGCATCGCAAAATTACCAATTGAATGAAAATAAAGATAAGCATAACAATTGAAAGAAAGATATGTCTTCAAAGATATTTTAATGTAGTTTCAATCTTATCATGACTCCCTATTTTTAAAATTGAATGATTTTGAAATTGAAAGCTTTAATGCTATCTAGGAAAAATAGGTCGTTCAGGACATCTTTCGAATATTAATTAAGATGAAATACTTATATAGAAACTATGACATCTTTTCAGAAAGATTTATTTTCGGAACTTTATTCTCATTCTTGCTCTCTCAGAATTAAGTACCTCGAAATGACGATTCGTTGAATGAATTATACAACTTCCAACGTATATATCATTTGTCAGATTTGTTTGAATGCTGATTTTTGAATTGCACAATTCTAGGACATTGTCTCATTCTTTTGATCTCGCGTGTCCGCTAAAAGGAGCCTAATTTGTTGTACAAAAGAGTAAAAGGGAGATCAGAAAAAAGCCAGAGGTGAAATAAAGAAGACAAACGGGAACTCGATCTCTCTCTTTCTCTCTTCTATGTCTTCTCAGACATCGCTTCCACGTCGCGTCGCGTCGTTTCGCTCGAACGCTCGTCTCGAAGGGTTCGCTGCTGTGTGGCTTTTGTCCTGCAAATGCATCCGAACAACGTCAACGGCGGCAAATGCAGCAAAAATGAAAAAAGAAGCCGAAGACGCGAGAAGTGTCATTACCTACTTACTCTCGAGCGTAAGCAGGTAGACAGGCGGTTGGCATCTCTATGTCGCGTATATTATCGTGGATATATATCCCATCGCGTAATTAAGTGTGTCAAGGAATACGCCTAGGCGTCTCCAGAGCTCGGACCGCATTCCAGGGAAGACATTCGCGGAGAGAGAGAGAGAGGGAAATATAATACCGTGGCAGGTACATACCCGAGAGAGAGAGAGAGAGAGAGAGAGAGAGAGAGACGCAATTAACTAAGGCCAACTTTTCGTGCGGGACTCGCGCGAATAATCAAGATAACGATAAATCAAGAGTGCTCTCGGAGAATATTTTATTCCGGTTCTGAACCCTCTCGAGAGAACGTTGTCGTGCAATCTCCCCTCCTTGACCGTGTAAATTAAACAATTTGATTAAACATCGAGCAAATAACTCGTGACTTGCACTGTAATCAGTTTCACTTACTTTAATGTCATCTAATTGGTTCTAATGCCGGCTAGGAATTTGTAGACTACGTTCTAATGGTAGAAATGAGTGTAATAATACACGGAAAGAATTTTCTCTTAGAATTTACCCTGAAAATCATAGTAATCTTGGGACAATGACAATATGGTATTAGAAGAATTTTAGAAGAGTTTCTCTGATTAATATTTATTACAAGAAAAAATATTTAGTTTATTTACCACGATAAGATATAAAATGTTTGATTAATTTTACTATGTAGATATTAATATTATTATTGTGATAAATATTAATTAGAGAAACTTTTCAAATTCTTCCAATACCGCATAATTGTCCCGCGATTACCATGATTTTCATTGTATACATTATCATAGATAGAGAATAATATATTTGAATTTAAGAAAAAAATTTTTTTATTTGAGAAAAATTTAATTAATACACAATCAAATGGTTAATTTTTTATGTATATTTTCTGCTACAAATAGGATAAAAACGGAGTTGAATAACATAAAAATCGCAGACTTTATCTCATCTTTGCATTTCATCTTTCAATTAATAATTAATCGAACCGTCATGACTTTATGATTACATCCCCATGAAAAATATGGCTTTCTCACGTGGTGAGATTAAAA